ATAATTGATTGTATATTTCAAAATATTTAAAAGGGTGGAACCAGAATGTTCCAAACACAAAGAAATGTTCCCAATTACTCTCTGGTAGACATCCCAATTACCCTCTGATCATTACATACTGTATGATTGTATCAAAATATCACATATATTCCATAAATATAATTATTGTGTACCCATAATTATAAATTTTTAAAATTCTTATTTCCTTGTGATAGTTTCCAAGAACATGATTTGCTCTTTTCCTTAACACACCCCCCTTTTTTTTGAGAAAAAAATCTAGCTCTGTTGCCCAGGCTGGAGTGCAGTGGCACCCCCAATCTCAGCTCACTGCCACCTCTGTCTCCCAGGTTCAAGTGATTCTCCTGCATCAGCATCCAGAGTAACTGGGATTACAGGCACCCACCACCATGCCCAGCTAATTTTTGTATTTTTAGTAAAGACGAGGTTTCACTGTGTTGGCCAGGATAGTCTTAAACGCCTGACCTCATGATTCACCCACCTTGGCTTCCCAAAGTGCTGGGATTATAAGCATGAGCCACTGCACCTGCCACACCTCTCTTTTTTTGAAGCTAAAAGTATGCATTCTTGGGTTCTATATATAAGAAACAGATCAAGTTGTACTAGCAATGAAAGAGATCATCTATGCAGTGATGTTTGCAAGTAATTGATCACAATGAGTTAGAGGTCTATGTGTTCCTTCTCCACTCCCAATGTTTTACTTGACTAGATTTTGGGGGTGGGGGAATGGGATGATCTAAAACTACACAGTGTCAGATCAGTCTTCTTGTCCAGCTCTGCCACTAACCTCACTGGAAAGACCATTCAATGTGTACTTGGCTTTTCTTCCTCATTAGTGTAATGGCAGGAACAGACTTACAAGACTCCAACTTGTGCCTTCAGTTCTTTGAAATCTATGGATTTTAATTTGCTGTGGCTTCCACTGGCCACCAAATTTCGCACAAAGCTGAGTGAACATGACTCTCATTAACCCTCATGTCATTCTATTATCTGCTAAAATTTTATTGCTTTACTGTATCTCAAACTTACACCTACCTGATATTATTTTACCACATGTATACTTAGCCTCTTATTTTTTCTTTTAATAATGTCTGCATTTGATTCAGAAAGGTATTTTTCAGCCCGATCAAATTTGAAAGTAGCTAAGAATTAGATAATTCTTCCTAGCTGTCTCACCAGCTGCTGTCTCCTAACCCTGCTTAATAGAGTCATATTTCACAGAGCTGCCTTTTAGATTTTTACTTTTCTTGGCTTAATTTCACTTCTCATTATGTCTCAATCTGTAACTACACTTTAACCCACTAGAATTCTGCAAGCTAAAATAACATTTATACTCCCCCCACCCTGATTTATAAAATACATTTTATAGACAGTTGCAATTTAAGATCAGAGCTGATCCAAAGCCAATGTGAAATCCCCTGGGAGGAGAAGCCAAACTTGATCACTTGAACCTTAATCTCAATTTTCCCTCTTTTTCTTTCTCTCCTTTCTCTTCCTTCTTCTTTCCTTCTTTCTTCCTTTTTCTATACACACATTCTTTCATATTTTCAATAAACAGAGTTGCAAAATATAAGAATCAAACTGGCACTAAAATCAAGATACTAATTTTATACCTATATTAATCTTATATGAATGTAATAGGTATTTTCTGGGACAGGAGACAGTAGAGCAGTAAGGTATCTACAAATGCATCTGGCCCTCTCAGGAGCTCTGCTTAGTCCCCATCTGCCTAATGTGAGCTTAAACACCTGCCTTGGACAAAGTTGCTTGACCTCTTCTATTGCTCTGCTTCGCTGATGCTTCAACCTGCGTTCAACTTCACTTCTTGGCCCCACTGTTCTCCAACCTCATTAAATGATAACATTGTCTAGTCTTGTATTCCTTAATTTTTTTTTGAGAAGTGAATCCAAACATTCTTTCATGTATACTAATTTCTCATAGTGTACAAAAGATAGAGGAGGACAATAAGGAGAAGGCAAAGAAGAAAAAGGAAGAGAATGAGAAAGAAGGGAGAGACTATTTTTGGCATTTCTCCCTTAATATTTACTTTACTTTTTATTTTATTTATTTTAAATATCTACTTACAACAGATTTTTAGAATCAAGATTAAAATTTTATTTTCTCTTATTACAAACTCTATTTTATTTCTTGAGAAAAACTGGCAGCCTAAGTTGCCTATTATTTTTATTTGCTTTTAAAAGCTGCTATTACTCTTTAACACCCTGGGATGCCAATGTGATGATGTCTCACGAGTTCCTGTAGATAGACTCACAACATGCCTATGGCTTCATGGAAATGAACATTTGCCACAGCTGCATAGGAGCTTACTCAAATGGGCAACACTAAATCTAACTAACGTGACAAAGCTCTGGCACGACCATCAGACAAATGAGTCAGAAGTTAAAACTATCATTACAGTTGTAGGGGTCCTTTTAGAATTAAAATTTCAAAATGATTTGTTTTGGAATTTGCAGTAGTTAGAAATGCTAATTTATGCATCAGAGAACAATGTAAATACACAATTGGGTAAATGTGGCTTACTTGAGCTCTTATAAGCAAAATTTAGGGACCTTAGCAGACAGTAATACTAATATGAGTCAAATTGAAAGCACATTATAACCTCAAAGGTATTTTAATCTTCAAAAATAGACATTTAATATCTTCCATGGAGAATGCAATAGCCCTGCCATACTCTGCTTTGATGAGAATACACCTCAAATACTGTGTTGAGTTCTGGTCTCCTCAACTTGAGATGGCATAGACATGTTGAAAATGCATAGGAGAGGGTGACCAGGTTGGTGAGGAGAACAACAGAAGGAGATAGCCATGCTGTATCTGAAGAAAAAATTAAAAAACTAAGAAGAAATAGAAAAAGTATTTTTAAATATCTGAAAGATAATCACACAGAAGAGGCAGATTTTGTTCCAAATACTATGTAGAATGTCGTCTTCTCATCAACTTAGTCAAATATACCAAAGCTTGAATCAATGAGTAGAAGCTACAGGAAGTTCAATAAAATGAAGAATTTTAAAAGACAGAGTTGTCCAAATGAACTAGGCAGTTTAGGAATTAAAGAATTTCCATTATTTGAAGGGGCTGGGCACAGGAGATCCTAAGCAGATGAGATTCGAGCAGATGTTTGTTCAGACTGAGTGACCTTTAAAGAATCCTGTTCAACATTAAATTCAACAATACCATAAAATCAAAAGCCATTTGTTTTCAACAGCCCTGGACATACCATAAAGTAAGGGCCAAAGATTTTAAAGAAAAGATGAATAAAACGAGAACTTAAAGTTGCCAATTTCAAATTCCCAAGCTGAGATAACATTTCGTTACTTAACATTTCTAGTTAAGTAACAAGGTCAATTAAATTCAAATTTAGAGATTGAAAATCTCTTTTTTTGAAATTATTTGGTTAGTTATCCACACATATAAGGCTGTTATATAGTCCATTCAAACTTGGCTTCTCATCAATGGGGCTAATTTTGGATACTTTGTTAATGACCAGTACATTTTTTTTAGGTCTATGATTGTCATACTATGATTCCTAATAATTACATTTGACGAACATACTTTTGACGTCACGTTTCTTGTGTGTAAACATCTGTGTAAGAATATCATTTTTAAATTTTATCTTCTGCACAAAATTACTCTGAAATGTTGCCTGAGAAGGTAATGAAATATATGACAGCAGGTATATTACTCTAAAAGTCCTGAAGACAGTAACAAATATTCATTTGGGGATAGAAGGGAGGTAAATAAATGTATAGCTGATGATTCAGAAAAGAAGAAAGAAAAGTGAGTAAAGCCTTTAATGTTTCTCAAAACAACATTTACAAATATTGAGCCAGATCCTCCCAGGTCCCTAAATGACCACCAGGTCATTAGCCCATTGGGGTGTGCAGTCCCTGGCCACAATGCTTTACAATGGGAAGTCATTGATTAGATAACAAAAAGGTTAAAGTGGCTTCGGATCAGATAGGCTTTTCCATTATTTAGGTTCCCATTGAAATTCGTGCAAATCAAAGAAAGAACTAACATGAATTAAAATAGGGAAGATTACTTAAAGGCAAAAAAAAAAAAAAAAAGGACAAGCAACACTAAGACTAACCTGAAATAAAACTACTACATGAGAGGGGGCAAAGGAGATCACAATATGGTAGAATGTATCTGATGGTCTCCAATCATTTGAGAGAGTCAAATGACGCAAAAAAAAAAAAAAAAAGTTAAATATAATTTTCCCATGGTAAATATTTTGTTATTTCAGTGAAACTCCAAAATGTATCATCTGTACAACATTTACTCACTATAAAAATGCTAGTTTTCCAATAGTCCTTTTAAAGATGCCATTCATTGATATATCTATATATCACGATATACAGATATCATGGTGAAAGTATTGGTTTTTAAGCAAGACAGAAACCAATTTCTTAAAACACATAAAGCATAGCTACAATAATATTTTGATCTCTTTCATTAAATCGTTATTGAAAATTGCTATTTCAAAAGCTTTTTTCAGATTGTTTTCATCATTAGTTCAAGATCTTTTTTTTACAAAGTTAAGCAGAATGGGCAAATCTTTGGGCATTTAAAAGGACTCCCTGTAAGGAACCTTCTCTTACTTGTTTTAAAAAATATTGTAATCATAAACATTAATCAGTTTTCTCTTTCTAGATTTCAGATGCAACCAATAAAAACATTAGTATTCTGTTTGATAGAAACAAAGAGAAGAAGGCAAGTAATCCAGATAATTAGTGACACTTTTATATGTTAAAGTTAGGAAACTGTTTCAAGGAAAGATAAAGAGACTTAAAAAGGAGAACTAACAATACCAGATATACATTATTTAATTGATACACAAATTGATAATCTCAAGATAATATGAAGTTAGTAACTCAAGGAAATATTATATTTCAAAGGTAAGAAATGAGAGAGAAAGTTGGTAGTAGTTAAGTTTCATCACAATAAAAATTTGCAAATACCTTCTTCAACATCTGAGATATATTCGCCATCACTGAGCATTTCAGGGGCATTGGCTTTACGAACTGCATGATTTAAGTGAACAATATAAGTGGATGAAAAATACACACTCTTGATATTACAACAAAACATTTCAATATTCCTGAAAAACATTTTTGCAATGAACTTTCTTCAGGAATCAAACAAAATACACAGTCACTCCTAATTATTATGAATGCAAAGAACATTTTCATACCTTCATCATCAGACATATCAAGAACTTCATTCATCGTTTCTGGAACATTCATTTTGTGCTTCTCTGTGACAGTCTAGTAACAAAAAAGCAGTCATTTTAGTGTGAGCAGACTGTACATTTTAATGGGTCTATTCATTTATCTCTGAATTAATCAGTTTCTTGTGAAATGCATGTGTTGAATATCTTGATTCTCCCACATATAAAATGACATCAAAATTGTTGTCCCTTAGTGGCATAAAGGTGGTCACCATATACAGAGCAGAGGAATACAAAATGAGAGAATTCTAGTGGCAAATCAACACAGCTTAAAAGATTGAGGTCTCTAATAAAGCTTTTTAAAGGAAAAGAGAAGATTCTGCCCCTCCTATTCCACTGCTGTACTTTTTCATGGTCTGATGAATCTGCCACCGCATTCCACTAAAGGTCTTGCTTGGCTGAAAAGAAGTCAAATGAACTGCAAGAAATATGTTTCTATTACTTTTGTCAAGCTTTCCATCTACTTTGTCTTCTCCTCTTACATGTAATTTTAATTCCTAAGATAAACCAAAATATTAGAATACTTAAAACAATGTATATGAAAAGATACTTTAAAAGTGATGCATTGGCAGGATCATTTTAGCCTCCCCCAAAATTTAAAGAACAGTATATTATGGAGCAAATGCCTCTGCCTCTTTTACTTGCTCTTTGATAACTTTGGTTCTATCCATCCAAAAGACACGGTCAGCATCACAGTGAGAAAATCTTAATGACTTTAGTCTAAAAGTGATTGTTTTTTAAAAAAATTCTCAGCATATAAGAGACTAATGGTACAAGGGAAGACACACATTTAAATAAGACAACTGAAAAAAAGCCAGGTTGTTAAAACTAAAAAGACATACAAATTCATTGTTTCTTAGAGACAATACTTGGTAAATGTGATTTCTATCCCTATCCCCAGTTATTGTGTTGAAATAAAGCATTACTTGATGTCTTTTCCAGCATGTAATACTGCAATGGAATATTTTTAAAAATAAACTTTTATTTTTAGAAGAGTTGGAGATTTATAGAATAATTGTGAAGATAGTATAGACAGTTCCCATATACCTCAAACCAAGTTTCCCCTATTTTAAAACTTCTATTATTATTATTATTTGAGATGGAGTCTCACTCTGTTGCCCAGGCTGGAGTGCAGTGGTGCAATCTCAGCTCACTGCAACTTTTGCCTCCTAGGTTCAAGCAATTCTCCTGCCTCAGCCTCCCAAGTAGCTGGGATTATAGATGTGTGCCACCACTCCTGGCTAATTTTTGTATTTTTAGTAGAGACAGGTTTCACCATGTTGGCCAGGCCAGTCTCGAACACCCAATCTCAGGTGGTCCACCTGCCTCAGCCTCCCAAAGTGCTGGGATTATAGGTGTGAGCCTGGCCTGTTATTAAGATCTTATATTAGCATGGAACATTTGTCACAATTAATGAATCAACATTGATACGTTATGATTAAAGTTTATATTTTATTCATTTTTCTTCAGTTGTTGCTTAATGTCCTTTTTATGTTTAGGATCCCACGGAGGATACTGTATTATATTTAGTTGTGTCTTCTTAGTTTCCTCTGGGCTGTGACAATTTCTCAGACTTTCCTTGTTTTTTTTTTGAGATGGAGTTTCCCTCTTGTTGCCCAGGCTAGAGTGCAAAGGTGCAATCTCAGCTCACTGCAACCTCCACCTCCTGGGTTCAAGTGATTCTCCTGTCTCAGCCTCCTGAGTAGCTGGGATTACAGGCATGCGCCATCATGGCAGGCTAATTTCGTATTTTTAGTAGAGACAGGGTTTCTCCATGTTGGTCAGGCTGGTTGGTCTCAAACTCCTGACTTTAGGTAGTCTAGCCATCTTCGCCTCCCAAAGTTTGGAGATTACAGGCATGAACCACTGTGCCTGGCCAATTTTCCTTGTTTTTTTTTTTTATTTTTTAAATTTAAGTTCTAGGTTATGTGTGCAGGATGTGCAGGTTTATTACACAGCTACAGATGTGTGCCATGGTGGTTTGCTGCACCTATCAACCCATCACCTAGGTATTAAGCCCCACATGCATTAGTTATTTATCCTGATGCTCTTCCTCCTCGCCCACAGGCCCCAATGTGTTTCGTTTTCCTCCCCGTGTCCACGTATTCTTATTGTTCAGCTCCCATTTATAAGTGAGAACATGTGGTGTTTGGTTGTCTGTTCCTGTGTTAGTTTGCTGAAGATAATGGCTTCCAGCTCCATCCATGTCCCTGCAAAGGACATGGTATCATTTCTTTTTATGGCTGCATAGTTTTCCATGGTATATATGTACCACATTTTCTTTATCCAGTGTATCATTGATGGGCATTTGGGTTGGTTCCACATCTTTGCTATTGTGAATAGTGCTACAATCAACATACACACGCATGTATCTTTGTAACAGAATAATTTATAATCCTTTGGGTATATACCCAGTAATGGGATTACTGGGTCAAATGATATTTCTTGTTCTAGGTCTTTGAGGAACGGCCACACTGTCTTACATAATGGTTGAACTAATTTACACTTCAGACAACAGTGTAAAAGCATTCCTATTTCTCCACAGCCTCAACAGCAACTATTGTTTCCTGATTTTTTAATAATCGCCATTCTGACTGGCGTGAGATGGTATCTCACTGTGGTCTTGATTTAGATTTTACTTTCCTTGGTTTTGATAAGCTTGACAGTTTTGCAGTGTATTGGTCAGATATTTGTAACATATCCATCAACTGGGGATTGTCTCATGGTGTTGTTTTTTTTTTTTTTTTTTTTTTTTAATGACTATACTAGGGCTGTATGTTTTAGGGATGAACATCACAGAGGAAAAGTACCATTTCATCACATTGTGTCAACGGTATGTACCATCAACATGACTTATCGTTGTTGATGTTGACCTTGATCATATGGCTGAGGCAGTATTTGTCAGGTTTCTCCATTGTAAAGTTACTCTATTTCCCTCTGCTTCCACACTTGTTTCTTTGGAAGGAAATCACTATGTTCAGCCCACACATAAGCAATGGGGAATTATGTTCTACTTCTTTGGGAGTATTTTCATGCATTATTTGGAATTCTTTAACCTGAGAAATTTGTGTCTTCTTTTACATTTATTGAATTACTTATATATAATAGTATGAATTCATGGATATTTATTTTATAATTTGTACTATACTTGTAAAATACTGTTATATTTATTTATTTTTGTCAAATTGTTCCAGCTGTGGCCATTGGGAACTCTTTCAGTTTATTCCTATGTCCCTTTCATATACCCCCACCATTGTGTCTGTGTATTAGTTTATTTGCTTTGGGTCAGGGAAGGAGGAACATTTCCATACTTTTTGACACTCTAAGATATTCCAGGCTCATCTAATATATTTCCTGTGCTAGTCTCAGATTCAGCATTTCTCCAAGGAGCCCTGGTTGCCTTTAGTAGAGAATGGTATTAGCAACCAATATCTGGGTGCTAGAGGTGTTCTGCTCCTTACCTATGAAGAAATTGGGTATTTTAAACAATGCAGTTTCAAAAGACACAATTCACATCTTTTGAATATCAGCTTCTATCTATTCAGTTTGGTATGCTGTTTTGATTGTAATCTAATTAACTAAACCATCTTTCTCAGCATTGCCACATCATGTATTTTACTCATATGGAAAAGACATTCTCTTTCCATTTTGAAAAATTGAAGTCTGCTTATAGAATCAATGGCTGCCGGAGTCCCAGTAACTGGCTATACAAATATCATGCCTGTGGGTGGAGGTTGAGCCATAGTTATTAGCTTAAAATCATACACTCCACCCTGAATTACATCAGTCCTGCCTAAGCCAGTTTACATGTAATCACTAAAGCATGGCTGACAAGGTGGTGTCTCAGCTTGAGATAATACACCAAATACCACAATGCTGGACTAAGTGTTAGAAAATTCTATGGACTCTTTTTTAATCAACGTGAATATTTCTTTTGGTGGAAGCCTCATTTCTTCACTAAGCAAACTGGACCTTTCCAATTAGCATGCAGAGTGTCTTTTCTTTTTTGCAGAAAGTCACCAACAAGGACAGCTGATGATGTGAAGAGTGAAAAGGCACTCCTGCATCCATTCACTCCTCTGATGGGAACCTTTGAGACCTTTCTTGGGCTTTCAGATTTTTTGAAGCTGTAACTTTATTTTGTCTTTCACTCTACTTTCTCTTAAAGCTTTTTTGATTTTGAAGAAACATTTTGAATTTTCCTATTGGGTGAGAAAGTAATTTACATTCAACCAAATAAGATTTGCATTTTGAACTTCTACATGCCTCAATTCTTTTACCATTGAAATAGAAGTATTAATATTGTATGTTTATTGCAACAACTTCAAATATTTATAGCATTGTGACACTCGTCTATTGTTAAATAGTTTGTCCTCTTCTTCTCCTGTCCTATGCTAGACAGAGCAATATGGGATATAAAATTAAAGGTAATAAACATTAATGGTTTGAACATTTTTTGGGGAAGTTAGTAATACATTTTAATACAATGAAATACTCAAGAGGTGTATAAAAGCAACATGTGGAAATTTATCTCTTAGACAAAGTATATCATGAAGTTCAGAATGTGTGCTGGTTGATAATCATTATTCTATTCCATTAAAACAATTGTTTTCTCTTTTGCAATTTACAAAATTTTTTTCCCATAATCAGCAGGTTTATTTTTCAGTTTCTAATGACTAAGAATGATACATTGAGTAAAACTGCCAGACAACTCAAACTGCAGGTAGCTACAGAGACTTTCAACCCATGTTTTTCACAAAAAGCACTAGGTATACAAACTAATTTGCAGGTACTAACCATTTTCTCCTTCATGTTAGAAGGTGGTGGGAGAGAAAAGGGGACAGAGCTGATAATTCAAAATGTTCCAGAGTCCTGTTCAGATTGACTCTGAACAGAGTCAATCTCAGGCCTAGGTGTTGAGTCATGGAATTAGGAAGAACTCAAATAAGCCTCTGATATCATGTAATATTTGTTCTTAATTCCAAAGTTATCAAATCTTGATGCTGTTCAAAGGCCCCAGATGGGGTTGAAAAGAGATGACTTATCCTAGAGGCTGCAGTTTGGAAAAGTGTGTTTGAGCAACAGGGCCTCCTGGTAAAGATCCACTTTAAATTTTAACAAAACAGCCTATTGTTTTTCTTATAAAAACTCCAATAGGTGGACAGAAGATGAGTGACAGTAGTAGGCAAAACCAGTCCCGATTCCATCTGGATTTTTTTTTTAAACAATGTAAAAATTTTTCACAGGAATGATAACGTATCCATGTACCATTTGTGCATTAAAACATTTTTAAGGAACCAACTTAGAGTTTTCAGTTTTTTTACATTGTCAAAGAAGGATGTTAAAAAATTTTTACCTTCACCACTTCATTAAAAAGTTGTTACATGAAAGCAAACAAACACATTTAGTTGTATATGGAGGTAAAAACTCCGTAGCTACAAATGCATCTTTTAAATAGGCATTCTTAGTGTTTTAAATTTTTATTCATATTGGCAGTAAAAGTTCTGCTATCCTGACTGCTAACAATGAGGCAACTGTATTTTACAACACAGTGCTTAGTTTATGAACGGGAAAAATATTCATCTCAGAAAAGCCCATGAAAACTGACTGAAAGCTGGCTCCTAGGAAAACAAGGCTCTGCATTCCTTACTTACAGTTGTGGTCATGGTCTCTTCGGTCACTACCTTCAGGGTGTCCACTACTGAGATGTAGCCAAGGCGCCGGGCAATGCCAAGGGCAGTATTCCCATTCTGGCAAAAGGAAAACATGAACCAGGAATTAGCAAGCCTTATTCCACATTTTTTTTTTTTTTGCTGATACAAAATCAGACCCATCCCACTGTCATACACAAAAAAGTGTTTCATTAGAGACATACCTTGCACAAAACCCACCTAACCTGTTTGTACTCATACAGCAAAGTCTGGGCAGCTACACATGCAATCCAAGAAGCTTTTTCATGTTCTAAGTAAGCAACCAATGAAACCAACACAATTTTTTTTCTTACATGTGTACTTCCTACTAGGTGACAATGCATTCAGTAGTTTTCACAGGTAAAACACTAATCATCACTCTCTCTCTCTGAACAGCTCTTGTTATTGTTCATTGTTCTTCTTTTCTCATTATACTGAATGCTCTGTGTATCCCTCTTAATGAAAGTACAATGAAAAATGTAAGAAGACACCAGAGCCAGGCCCATCTATCTCCTCCCTCTTCTCCCGAGCTGGCCTTGAGTGCTTACCACGGTGAGTTCATTGGGGGAGGCATTGTTCTGAAGTAAGACGTTTATTATATGCGTATGTCCCTGCTGTGCTGCTTGATGTAATGGCGTATACCCATTCTGGAGAAGGAAGATGGAAGAGATGATTCTTACTTCCTTTTAAACAAAAATAAATGATTTTGGTGGAAACAAAAAAGAAGGAAGGGGCTTACCTTTGTTTTGGCATTAACTTTTGCAGAATGCTGGAGCAGGAAATTAACAATCTTGATATTTCCATAGTGGCAGCCCACATGCAGGGGTGTGTATCCCATCTGTAATTATTATTTTTAAAAAGCATTATAATTATACTTTTACTAACAGCTATCCTAAACAGAAGCAAAATTGTTATTTAATCTTCCTTTTTGAGCTGGAAAAAGTAGGTGTTTTTTCCTTCTCTGTGTAAAAAAAATTGCCCTTGATAATTCTCAGCATAAGACTCAGGTATAAGTTAAAATACCATTGCCCATAAAATTGTTAGCTCCCTAGACTGCTTTATTTTTATCAGCTTATCTTGTTCTTAGAACTTTTCAAGATAGAAAGGGAAGATGGAACAAGTGATAACATAGACTGACTGACTCAGTGGCTGCTCGTTCAGGGTCAGAAGATAACTTTACGGAGTCTTGACTTTTTATTGAATGTTTTCTGAAAGCTTAAAACCTAGGCAAAAATGAAGTGGCTAAATAATAACACATGGCAAGAGGTAATTATCAAAATGCCTGATAGAGATAGGAAAATGCACAGAAACACTAAAAAAGAGAGGGAGGCTGGTGTGACCTCAGGTGGTCTGAGAATTATGAACTTGAACAAGGTATACCAAGATCGTTAGTCTTTTGCCTTCCTACCTAGAGTCCCAGAGTTTGAAAACCGCTGATTCACTGATTTAGACAAAGAAATGGATTGTTTCTCAAATTAGTATCCACTGACCCCTGAGGGTCTGTAAGTTCTCTCTCTCTCTGTGTGTGTGTGTGTGTGTGTGCGTGTGCACATGTGTGTGTATACAATCTAGATAATTTTTTTGAGATGGTGTCTTGCTCTGTCGCCCAGGCTGGAGTACAATGGTGTAATCTCGGCTCACTGCAACCTCTGCCTCCCAGGATCAAGTGATTCTCCTGCCTCACCCTCCCAAGTAGCTGGGACTACAGGTACATATCACAACACCCAGCTAATTTTTGTATCTTTAGTAGAGATGGAGTTTCATCATCCTGATCTCTTGACCTCGTGATCCACCCACCTTGGCCTCCCAAAGTGCTGGAGTTACAGGCATTTGCCACCACATCTGGCTGATAATTATTTTTTTAAAATAAGGGTATTCCAGATCCTTCTATAGAGGGTATGTTTGTTATAACAAACTGAGGAAGGAGACCCCCTCCTCCCAAGCTTCTAAGGCCATTTCCCTTTTAGCCTTCTACATTGCATTTCAAAAGGAGAAGTTAAAAGTCAGCCAGAGTTGGTGCTGCTGGTCAGGTCTAAAGGATTAAACCCCCTACTGCTAACCACAACCCTATCTATAGACCATGGATATGGTAAGGAGGAATTTTCCCTGGAAGGTATTGTTCTTGCTCAACTGCTCAGACCCCCACCTAGTCACGTCCCCCATGCTCTCCATCCTCTCACGTGTGCAGCTCTCAGACTGTAAGCCAAGGTTTTCTTTGTTGGGGAGCTCAGTTGTTGAGGTATCTATGCCACCGCAGCTCCCAGATGAATAAAATGACCACTTCCTTCCCTGTTTGGTGTTGAGAGGTTTGTCTGCGGCCCTCCTGCTTCAATACTACCCTGCAATTTCAGAACCCCTGTTCATAATGACACTGGCAGTACCAGATCTCTGAAAGGGAGAACATTGACCTTTAATTGCAGCATTTCTAAACAGGAATGTGGGGGGGTGATCCATGTTGTCAAGGGTCTGTATCTTCTGTGATGGTACTGGTATCTTCATGGTGGCCCCAGTAAATGGATACTTTTGAATTTGAAAAAGAGATGCCCAAACCACAGTTGATTGCAGAAGGTGAAGATACTTTACCAGGAAGGTACTGCCCTAGAGAGTTGACTCTTGGTAGACTTTGTTTCACAAAACAAACTGCCAGTGCACCCACGCTGAGCAGACTGTCCCTGATAAGCTTACCATAACCATATATAGGAAACTGACTTCCAGCCTCTAACGAACCTTAATTACATGATGGAGGATATTCCTTCTTGGTGACCAGAATCTATTTGCCTGCTTTGCAGGGTTCTTCTTTTCAGTACAGAGGAACTCAGATACTGCACCCATGATCAGAATACTGTTTAATAAGGGAAGCTTGAAAATAATGTATCCACTCAACGCTTAGTACAATTGGTTTAACTGATTGAAGTAACATCATTTCCAAGTTCAAAGAACTTCCCTTACAAGTCAAAACCATATGGACTCAACATATTTTTAAAATCTAAATATTAAAAAATTCTTTGAGATTTTAGTCAATTTGCCTAAGGTACAATACAACCATTTCTAATAGTTGTTGAGATGGACGTGTTGATTAGATTTATACGTGTGTGTGTGTCTGAGACAGGGATGATTAGATTTATATACCTATAAATATACATACATACATACATATGTATATGTATATGTATATGTATATGTATATGTATATGTATATGTATATGTATATGTATATGTATATGTATATTTGAGACAGGGTCTTGCTCTCTCACCAGGCTGGAATGTAGTGATGGGATCGTGACTCACTGGAGCCTCCCCTTTCCTGGACTCAATCTATCCTCCTGCCTCAGTCTCCCAAGCATGCACCCACCACACCTGGCTAATTTTTCTATTTTTTGTAGGGATGAGGTCTCACTATGTTGCCTAGGCTGATCTCAAACTCCTGGGCTCAAGTGATCCTCCTACCTTCGCCTCCCAAAGTGCTGAGATTACAAGTATGAGCCACCGTGCCTGGCCTAAATATTTTAATGTACAGGTAATATTCATCCTCATAGCTTCCTATCTCATTCTTATGAAACTCTAAGTCATTATAATATAGTGTTAGGAACTCTCTAATTCTAGTCTCCCCCAACCTCTCCAACCCCCATCCATACATCTCACCATTCTCTTCCTTGTTTGCTATATTCTAGGACACTGGTCTTGCTGTTCCATAAACACTAAAGTGTTTTGTCAAAAATACCTGGGCATGGCCACGAAGACTGAACTTGCATTCAGAGAAATCAGATGTGGGCTCTTTCATTCATTGGGGTTAACAGCATTCCCACACAAAATAGCACCTTGCATAAATACACTCAGATGGGATGGGAGAAATTCTAATCAGCAGTAACAAATTTTTCAGAGTTACTATTTTTTTCTTGAGTAGCTAAATAAACAGGCAAACCAAGAGCCATAGCCTAGCGAACCCAGCAGCCTCTCTGCCTCTTGGTAGTCTCACTGATAACATCATTACAAGCTGATTAGGTTTTTCCTTCCTGCCTTTGGCAACACTGGATAAAGCTCAGCAAAACCCTGCAAAATACATCCGAGTCTTTAACAACTTTCCTTTCTTGACTGCCAAGGAGTAGATGTTTACATCCATTCACTCATCAGGCTGCAATTCTGACTGATGAGAAGGAGGGAAGAAGGGGCTCAGCAGCCAGGAGCCTCAGAGGCAGACCGTCTGAGTTTGGGACTCAGCTCTTCTACTTACTATCTGTGTGAATTTGGACAAATTTTTGAACCTCTCTGTGCATTGGTTTATGTATTATAAAATGGACTTCAATAATGGTATCAACCTCATTGTGTAGTCATAAGGATTAACTACGTCAACAAATACTTCAACAGTGTCTGACACATCTATTACCTCGTGCTGAAAACAGTGCCTGGCAGATCATCAGTGTTCAATAAATATCTTATATCTGGTAAATTAATGATTGAAAACAGGAAAAGATAAAGTTAGGTGCGGTGGCTCACACCTGTAATCCCAGCACTTTGGGAGGCCAAGGCTGGCAGATTACTTGAGGCCAGGAGTTCAAGCCTAGTCCACATGGCAAAACGCTGTTTCTACTAAAAATACAAATAAAAATGAGCCGAGGGGTGGTGGCATGTGCCTGTAGTCCCAGCTACTCAGGAGGCTGGGGTGGGACAGTTACTTGACCCTGGGAAGTTGATGCTGCAATGAGCCATGATCATGCCTGTGTGCTCCAGCCTGCACAACAGAGTGAGACCCATCTCAAAAATAATAATCATAATAAACAAGAAAAAGCAATGGTCATTTCAACTCTGGCTCAGCCCTTCCCACTTCTCATACCCCTTATAATTTTGCTAACCATTTTTCTTTCTTATGGCATGCTCATCTCAGATTATAGACATATTTTAATGTTCCCAAATTAGAAACAAAAATCATTCCTTTTAAATATCTCTCCTTTTCTCTAGGTTTCTATCCTTTCAAAACTAAACTTCTTGAAAAAAATAATCTTCACTCACTGTTCCATCCCATTCTCCCTACATTTCACCATCTCCACTACTCTAGTCAAACTGCTTTTTAATATCCCAAGTGCCCATCCATGCATAGCACGCATGTACCTGGAGCTTCTCTTATCTGAAACACCCTGACAGTTTTTCATAGTTTGACAGTCCTGTTATATTTTTTCCTGACTTCTCTTCTACCTTTGGACAGGCCCTCTTCTACCTCCTCCATCCATTGTAAAATGGAGTTGAGCCCAAGGGTTTTTTGTCTTTGGTTTGTACCACACTTTTCCTTGGGGATCACATCTAATTTCACAGTGTCAGCTAATGCGTTTATTCTGATGATTCCGAAATCTTCATCTTTCGTCCTTTCCTGCGTCCAGATCAATAAATGAGTCATTTATTGAATCTTCCTACTTGAGTCGCCCCTAGGTAATCTACGATTCAACATGCCCAATAAAAACTCATCATCCTCTTTCCCCAACTGGCTTTGTCTCCTTTATTACCTGTCTCATCGAATGGTACTTGTGATCACCCAGTTACACAGGTCAGATCCTTAATTTCATCCTGAATTTTACCCATTAGCTTCTCCTCAGTCCCCCTACACAAGTGATCTTCAAATCTTAACTGTCTGTATATCTTTTAGTTGTTTCTCAGATTTCTCTCCTGTTCCTCGCTGTTTCATCTGCCACTTTGTTGAGGCCTTCTTTATTCTTTATTTGGACCTCACAATAGCCTAACTGCCCCTGCTCTAAGCTTTATAATCACCTTATTCTTTGCATTGTTTCTCAGGATCTTTGTAAAGCAGATTGTTGATTTTATCACGTTGGTGGTTAAAACCTTCAGTGGCTTCTCAGCGCAAACAGGATAAAGAGCTGAACAGCGTAGGCTGGTATATTAAGGCCCTCTGAGATCTTCTTAATTTTCTAGCATTATCTTAAGACATAATCCCCATTCTTCTTCTCATGTTCCCATGATACTGAATTAGCTGTAGCTTCCTCTTTCCTACCTACCTTTGTCAAAAAATGTAGTTAATACCTAATACTCTAAAATTATATGTATATTTCTAGATACAGACACATGGTCAAAATCAGGCTTTGTAATAATTAGCTTTGGGAACTTGTGTAATAATTTTTCTGTGCCTCAGTTTCCTCATCTGTAAAATGGGGATGCTAATTTTACCAGCCTCATAGAGCAGCTATAAGAATTAAAATAATAAATAAAAATCACTTAGAATAGTACCTGGCACAGAGAAAGTGGGTGATACATTGTTCTATTTTATGATGATGATGACTTTGTTAGTATAATACTATGTGTTTTGCTCTCTAAACTATGAATTCTATGAGGATAAGAAATATATCCCCCCAGGTAAGAATTTGGTGACCAGTGGGAAATCTATAAATGAATGTGAAATGAGTAAGTCTCACATAAGTTCTCAAAGCTTTTTATACTTTCACACACATTTAAAGGAATCTAATGTAACTCCTGATCCCTACTCAGTGCCCTCTAAGAATCAGTGCCTTTCAGGGGTGGGCTAAATAACATGCTTCCGGACCTTATCCTTCTAAAAAGCAAAAGCAGGGGCTTCCTCTCTATCAACATTGATTATTAAACCCTGTGGCACAATTTAGTTTAAACTCATTTAGCGAACTTTCAATGCAAAAGGTGGGTGGGGTATAAAGGGTCAGCAAACTGGAGGGGTGCCAGGGAGAGAGAACTGCAAAGGCTGTTACTAGGATTTTCTAGTTTTTTCCTCATCTGAGAGAAGAGAACTTGATAGTTTTATTGTTATTAATTATTTCTTCATGTAAGCCAATGAGTTGAATGGTATACATCCCACCTGTGGGCTGCTTGGGGATGTCTTCTTTACCAATGAGAAAGTCGACATTCATGGGATACAAGAAACTCCTTATTCACAAAATTAAGCAGCAAATGCAAGCCATCTATCTGCACTTCTGCTGTGCTCTAATTATGGGGCAATCATGGCTTCACTTCCTTTTGGTGGCTATGACCTTTGCAAAGAAGAGAAAGGAAAGGAAAAGAACTTGTAAAGGACAGAGAGATGCTTTCCAAAGTGAGATGCTCTCCTCCATTTGTAAAGGGTGGGAAAGGTTACATGCTCCAAGATATTATACGGAGTACAATCCATGGCCAGGCACCATGGCTCATGCCTGTAATCCCAGCACTCTAAGAGACCAAAGTGGTGGATTGCCTGAGGTCAGAAGTTTGAGACCAGCCTGGCCAACATGGCAAAAACCTATCTCTTACTAAAAAATACAAAAATTAGCCGGCCATGGTGGCACGTGCCTGTAGTTCCAGCTACATGGGAGGCTACGGCAGGAGAATTGCTTAAATCCTTGAGGTGGAGGTTGCAGTGAGCCACTACACTCTAGCCTGTGTGACAGAGAGAGACTCCCTCTTGGAGAAAAAAATGACTGCCAATTGGGACCTGAGTTGGGCTAGGTTAGGAGTAAACCGTGGCAGAGTCCTGAGACTCGTACATTGAGGGGCTGTGTGTGCAAATGGGAAACAGATGGAGGGAGCGCAGTACTTGTTTCTCTCCTCCCCCACCTGGCCTTGAGAATCCTCCCCATAGTCCCTGGCTGAATTTTAGGGCATGTCTTGGATGTGCTAGGGCAGGAAAATGTTGAGAAACTTGACCCAGATCTTGCCTTCTAGAGTTTTCTATCTATAAGGAGGAGAGAGAACCTAATAAAGTGTTTAAATCTCTCTCTCTCTCTCTCTCTCTCTGTGTGTGTGTATGTGTGTGTAAATAAAGCAATACGGAGCGAAGACATTTCCTATGAAGTTGCAAATTTCCAAAGTGGAGAATTATTTCCTGATGAAAGTATTCAAGCAACATAAACAAAATAAGTTAAATTCAGTCTCATTTCAGTCTCATTTTGGTGCCTTCAATACCCTTTTACCTGGCTAATTTGGGGTACTATTTCTGTATTACTAATAACTTCAATATGTCCATATACCTCAGATCCTACCTATATTATATATAAATATTTTATTCACAATATTTAGTAGTCATTCTTTTTCGTGTCAAACGTGGCATGTAGAGAGAAAATATGTTAGATAACACAAATCTGATAGGAAGAAATAACAAAATTAAGCATCTAAAAAAATTTTCAGAGAAATGTGATTAATGTTAAGCTATATCTTTGATAACATGAAAAATCCTTTTTTTTTTCCTGTGTTTGAATTGTGGCATTTAGATTAATCAGCAATTTTGTTTTCTTTTTGAAATGAGAGCTATTTGTCTGAGAGACGAAGAACGCACGCTTGAGCACACAAACCATAAGGAGTTTAGCAAGTGAGTAATAATTAAAGAAGCCTTAATTTAATCTGTTTCGTAAATCATGCTGAACGAATGTAGAGGTCACAAATTATAAGTTTTTCTATTTGTCTATTTGTCAGCATTTTAAAAATCCATCACAAAAACTAAGAAAGGTACAAGCTTTCACACTCTGCCCCTGAATGATGTATCTGTCATAAGGAGGCTCAACAGCATTAAGATGAGGGAAACTGCTATGCAGCTAGGATAAAGTAGCTAGGCCGATAAAGACAAAAGTCCCTGGAATATGGCAACCAGAGACTTTAGTGTCCCTTGCATAAATACACATTTATTTGTTTTGTTTTGAGACAGAGTCTTGCTCTCTCGCATATACATTTAAGATACCACATAGGAAAGAGATGATTAAAGGGTTTGTTCTCCTGATACAATCATGGTTTCTTCCTTACAGCAGTCACCAAATGGACACATTCTTTTCTGTGTAGAAAAGGAGGGGCTATACCTTCGTCTGGGCGTCCACATGAGCTCCTTGGTTTACAAGGACTTCTGCCACATTCACTCTATCTTCTTGAGCAGCCAAATGAAGTGGGGTCAGGCCACTCTGCAAAAGATTCAAAGTGCACAGTCATCTTACAGGAAGGAATGTCACACACAAAGCCATGTTTTAGAAACCATTTGTGAATTCTAAGATGGTAAGCCAAGAATTTCTATGTTTAAAAAAACTGTGGAATAAATGTCTGTGATTTGGAGGCCAAGGCAGGTGGGTCACTTGAGCCTGTGAATTCGAGACCAGCTTGGGCAAATGGCAAGACCCCCATCTCTACAAAAATTAGCCAGGTGTGGTGGCATGCACCTGTAGTCCCAGCTACTTGGAAGGCTAAGGCAGGAGAACTGCTTGAGTCCAGTAAGTGGAGGTTGCAGTGAGTTGAGATAGAGCCATTGCACTCCAGCCTGGGTGACAGGAGTCAAAGAACGCTGTCTCAAAATAGATAGATGATTGATAGATAGATAGATAGATAGATAGATAGATAGATAGATAGATATTATACTCTATTAGCACTGTGGCAAGATTACTATCTGTAGGCTGCATGAAAAATTGTAGGCATAATCAAAAGTGTAAGAAATGGTGTGAGCCTTGTATACTTAACCACAGACTAAGCCATTATCGAAGTTTTCCTATATTCATTTCATCTATCCCTCTTTTCCTTTTCATTCATTTCTTTGTGGCAGTATTAAAACAAATCTAGACATTATAATTTTCCCTCATACACTTCAGTGTTCATCTCCAAAAATTAGCCTCTTTTTTTGACAAAATTATGCAAGTTTTACTATATCACCAATGGCACTAGTTTTAGCAAAAATTATTTAAATGGTATCTGTTTACAAAGTGAACATTGACATATGCTGATATTTTCTCCATATTAATTCCCATGGTCTAATGAATATTTTCTGTATGTCACTCTGGGTAGGAAAGATCGCCTATGAAATGTAATGTGAATGCAGAGCATGAGAATTTCCAGGTCATTTAGATGATGTGTGGGTTTAACAAGACTGATACAGTATTTGAAACTAACCCTTAGAAAATTTGCAGAACACATGGTTGCTCTCATGACCAGGAAAAATATTACTAAGACTACACTCTGGTTTTAAAAAAACCTTGTAAATTGTAAAGCGTTTTCAAAATAAAATTTCAGAGAAAGTGGGTTGGTGTAAATGCTTTCAGATTTTTTACTTTCACCCATTATAAGCACAGAAGTTAATATCGTAATCCTGGACGTCTTCCCCTCTCTCTAGTATCTGTGCAATGAAAACATCAGCCTGTCCTATTTGTCAGAGGAAAGGAAGGAATTAAAGGCAGTTTCAGGAAGAGCACAGAGCCTTCTAGATGTGAAACATTATTTATTCAGGGGTTGCTATTCCATCAGAGCAATTACAGAACTCAGAGAGAATCAAGCTGGGACTTTTTAATAATGTTTATAGAATTTTGGAGGAAGCTTACTCAAACTGAATGAAGGGGAAATGGGAAAAGGAGGACTGATGTATTCACTTGAAATTCAACAAAAATAAGCCTGGGCCAAAATTGGCACCACCCAAACGCTGACCTCATCACAGAACAATTTTTCACATTCTATTTTAGAGGAAATAATATTGTCAGCCATAACATTTTGTGAGTGTCATGGTCACCTTTTCTAAGTTTGAGACTCTCGACACTGAGGATACTTTTCAGAGTAGCTCTCAGCAAAGACTGAGAAATGTGTTGTGGGCGTGTGCTGTCCTCTCATGCTCCCATGCCCAAGTGCCTGCTGCTCACATGGCTGACCCACTCACTGCATGGAGTCACTTCAGGCCTCACTGGCCTCTTCTCTCTTCTTGTTTCACTAAAGGGCCAAGTTATTACATTTATGTGCAAACCTACTTTGTGCTCACCTCTATTAAAAAATCATAATCCTGCATTTAAATTCTGTTTTCTTGCTTGTCTTCTTCAACCACTGCGAGCTTGCTGAGGCGAGTATTGTCTTTAATTTTCATGTAACCAGTGTCTAGCACCTAGCATTTAATCTACCCATTCATTGGTTAAATCAGGGGAAAAAAATTAAACCTTCTTCTTAGGTAGAACGGGATAAGTTATATAGATGACATTTTATTTTTACATTTATGGTTATGATTTCAAAGATTTTAAAAAACAGTCTGAAGGTAACCACAGCCCTATTTGAGTTCAGAAGTTACCTGTTAATCTTTCATGGCATTTTAACCATTGCTCACTTTAAAAATGGCATTTATTTGAAACAGAGGAAACATCAAATTAAAATAGAAACAGCTCTGTTTAATATTCTTTCAGTTGTATAAAAATATAGCCATGGGGTCTGCAAAACCTATATGGGAAAATAGGAACATCAAAAGCAAAACTGAATCAAATAGAACGCTAGCACTTCAGCAGTAACTTGGGGTCCATGACTGTTTTTCCTTAAAAGTGCTGGGAAAGTGCTGGTTACTAGTAAGGAAAAAGAAAGCGAAAACAATAAAGTGTTTACTTCAACATAAACTAGGAAAGCTAAATACTTCTTTTAATAGTTATTTCATAGCAAGGAAATAAAATGTAGAGTTATATGATAAGAGGGAAGGGTAGGCAGGAGCAGGGAGGAGGGGACAGTGAGGAATGGATGCTTAAAACACTGGCAGCTCGGGAAAAACTGACAAAAACAGAGAGAGTTTCTTACTGAATAATAAAAAGTTGTGCTGCTTTTCTGTTTTCATATGAGGGCATATTTAGTACTTTATACGAAAATGACAGCGGAGAAAGGAGGCAAGGATTTACAAATGCTTTCTCATTACATCGTTTCTAATGATAAGCTGAAAGTTAAAAGTATTAAAAGTTCTCCAAAGTTCCTGAAGTTCAACATGCTAATGAAAAGCCAGTTGATTTTTAAGAATTCCGTTAGGAATATCTCTGCTTGTGTATCATTTATTCAGGAAGGTGGCCAGAAATTTTCAGGTTTCCCTGGTTTACTGTACATCTTTGGGTTCAGTACTGAGAAAATTTTTACCATAAATATTTTTATGGTAAAATAAAAATCATTCTGTGAATCTGAAAGCTGTGATTCTGTGAATCTGAAAAATCATTCTGTGAATCTAAGGTGAATTCAGGCTGGGTATATATTGTACTAGCTGGCTGCAGGATTTTAAAGAAACAAAGTCAATCATGCTATAGTTTGGTATCAAACCTACTGAAAATATTCAATTGAAACCAACTGTGATAGTATTATATTGTTTCTGGAAGAATTGATGAAATACAATATTATGGGCTCACAAGAGAAAATACACTCTAATAGATACCAGCATGTGCTTCAATTTGAGAAATGCAAGGTCCTCTTTGTCATAAAGACAAGTTGAATTTTGTAACAAGCCATTAAAATTCTGGTCTCTAAATTGGTATATAAAACTGTAGAAAATTCAAAAGGTCAAACAAATCTTAACTATAATGACTATTTGAAATTACTTTAAAGTCCCATTAACACTGAGACACATACTCCTAAAAGAAATGTTTAATAAGAAAAAAATAAAATTAAAAGAATGTGTTTGCTCTGTAATGACCAAAAAATATTTTTACAATTCTAAAACCAAAAAAAGATATCTCTGGTCTCTCGTGTATGTCTTTTGGGGTACAGAATTTGTTGAATAATACCTTGAGAATTAAGATTAGTATGGAGTAAACTCTCCAAAATTGTAAAAGCTCCAAAATTTAAAAAACTATTCTTTTCTACTTAAAACATGGTGCTGAATGTTATCTCAGTGGATCCTCACTGCATCTCATGAAGTCAGTATTGTTATCTACAACACTTCCTACAGGACAAAACTGAGGCTCAGAGAGGTAATTTAACTTGCCTAAATGACACAGTTCAGAAGAATCCAACTTAGGATTCAAACTCTGTGATTTCAAAACACAGGCAGGCGTGTTAAAAGTATTTAAATTACTTGTTTTTGCAACATAAGACTACTGCTATTTTGAAACTCTACTCCAATATCTGAGCTAGGGCTGAGAAATGTCACAGCTATGCCCATACCCAGCAGGTAGAAGAGAAGCTAAATGCCAGAGAGTGGAGGTTATCAGGAATCCGAGGGCCCTTTTGCATGGTTTCCCATTATCTAACACTTAGAAACACTTATTTTGTGTTTTGGGCAAATCTTACTGAGCAATTCAGCAAATCCAAATTCTCTGATACATACAGCGAGAGGCAGTAACTTCATTAACATGTTTCTAGTTAATTGTGGGCTGAACTTTTGCTTTGCTTGACAGAACTCTTGTCTTTTCTTCCTGAATAATGACGATATCAAAGATGAGCGTATGGGTGTTTGAAGAGTTTAAGGAACAGTCTTCACAAGTTTATTCAAAATGGCCAACAACTTCTATCTACTCCATAAAATAGTTACTTTACATTTGTTATTAAAGTGAACTCATGAAGGCAGCAATGTTTCCCATTTCTCATTGTAACCTAGAACTGAAAACTGGATCAGCAAGGAGCAGGAGCCCAAAAATGTTTGTAGAATAAAGCAATGGGCTGCAATTTATAACTTCTTATTTGCTATGTCGTGGTGAAGTAACAGCGGTGGTCTTTACCATTATAACAGAACTTTATGTTACTACAAAAACTTTGTATACTTCATTTTTATAGCTACATGTCTACAGAGCCACCTCCACATACACTCAGTTACATGAATGAATTATTTATTTACCATTATCTTTCTTTCTCTCTCTCTCTCTCTCTCTTTAAAAAAAAAAAAAAAAAAAGAGAGACCGGGTCTCACTCTGTCGCCCAGACTGGAGTATAAAGAAGCAATCACGACTCACAGCAGCCTCGATCTTCTGGGCTCAAGCAGTCCACCCACTTTGTCTTCCCAAATAGCTGGAATTAAATGGGTGAACCACAGCAACTGGCCTATTTACCATTTTTCTTAAACAGACTGTTTCCAAATTTTTGTTCTGGTAAACAGCTCTTATTACACTTTACACATCATATTTGACCCAGATCTTTTGTGAGTTCTCAGTGACCTTTCTGAGGCGTGAGGTTTTGGTGAGCCACATGCTTCGTCAAGAAAGTGGGTTACCTTATTGCTCAGGTTCACATTCGCATTTCTACCGAGGAGCAGCGACACCATGTCCACGTGTCCTTCCTGCGCTGCGAGATGGACGGAAGCAATTCCTTGCCGGGTAACTGCGTTGGCATCAGCACCATATTCCAGCAGAGTTGTTGCTATGTCCATCTGGTTCTTTTTGGCAGCAATGTGCAGTGGCGTATAACCATTCTGTCAACACAAATCACTTGGTCACATGCCCAGGAACAAGATAAAAATGTGCACAGTGCATTTTCAAATAGTATATATCTCTTTGTAGTGGCTTTCTATGATTGCTTAAGAAATCGTGATTAAGTAGGCAAATACTGGTAAGCCAAGTGGTACCATGAATATAGTGCACTCATGTTTCCTAAGTAGGGAAAACATAATTTGCTTATTTCTTTATTTTTTTTTTTTGAGACAGAGTCTCCCTGTCACCAGACTGGGGTACAGTGGTGCAATCTCAGCTCACTGCCACCTCCGCTTCCCGGGTTCTAGCAATTCTCCTGCCTCAGACTCCTGAGCAGCTGGAACTACAGGCGTGCACCACCACATGCCCAGCAAATTTTTTTTTTTTTTTATATTTTTAGTAGGGTGGGGTTTCACCATATTGGCCAGGCTGGTCTTGAACTCCTGACTTCGTGATCCACCGCCCTAGCCTCCCAAAGTGTTGGGATTACAGGCGTCAGCCACCATGCCTGGCTGGAAAACATAATTTAATATAAATACTTTAATCAAAAAGAGTCAGAGTATTATTGGTTTTCCAAAAGGAATATAGATTTCCCTTTTACAAAGTTATATTACAACAAGCTCAATAATTAGTTGCTTTATTTAAATTGAGGACAGGAGGAAGAAGGAACAAACAATGTTATCATTAGGGCATGTTCAGAGCCATTCATTCTTTTATTTGAAGAACACCTTTCATGGCCATCTATTGCTTACAAGTTGAAATTTTTAATTTTGCCAACAACTTCATGGAAGTCAAGACACTATCATCTCTTGTCATTTAGCCCTTTAACTTCCTCTATTACAAAATTTGCCTTCATGTTGGTCTGTCATCCTGCACATCCCCAAAACAGAATACAGTCTCACGTTTCTCTGTCTTGCTTTATTCTGCAAGAATACTTTTCCCCAACATGCCCAGGAGCCAGCATCTGTCAGCTGAAAATTCAGCTTAAGGGTCATACCCTCCATGAGGTTTTGAATTTCTTCCCACTCCTCAAGCCTCAGCCCCAGCCCCCGCCCTGAATGACTCTTACCAAAGTCCTGGGGATAGTTAGTGGCACACTCTTTTGTTTATTTATCTGTCCCCTCCTACTAAAATATACATTTGTTAGGGGCACATATTGTGTTATATTTGTCTTTGGATCTCTCTAGTGCCTCACAATAACTGACATATATTAATTACATGAAGAAAGGAATCCTCAGATTTTGAATCAACAGTACTAGAGCTTTCAGCACATTCTGGCATCCTTCTTGGCTGATCCCTGACGCCCAGAGACAGACAATCAAGACTCCCTTGATAAGCTGTTAGTCAGCTGTGCCTCAAGAGCCATTTGGGGTCTCCTGTCCCAAGAACGAGTTTTGGGGGATGTTGCCCTGGTTTACAGTCACTTATAAGAAGGGCAAGATTCCACTTTGACATGGACATGAATCTGAGTATATAAAATATGCCAATGAGAAATTAGAATTTTTCCATGGATAGGAATATTTAGAGAAGGAAAATAGAATCTATAAATTTATATTTGGAAGTATGATCCAAATCTGGACAATCGATCAGTCACAATCTCTTTTTGAGTCACATGGAAGAATCAGAAACAACTCAGAGGGATTTTAGAAGCTGTGGCACCCAGTACTCAGCCACCCTGCTGCAGTGACCCTCACATTTAAGTCACTGGCATGTCCAAATCCAACAGCATTCCTCACTTGACAAACCCTTATATCAACCCATGAAAGTGGAAACGTCACTTCTAGACTCTTCTGAAATGAGCCTCTGCCAAACTGGATGAGCAAGGGTAAAATATTTTATATCCCTATTTTTAATTTTGACCTATTGCCATCTGGAAACCCCAGCTGCCCTGAGAAGCATTTGGCCCTCTGCTGGGACACACCCTTCAGAGACCGATGCCCTTAGAGCCAAATGCAGAGTTTTGGTCTGAGTCCAATGCTACAATGAGTGACAGGAGTGGGTGAGCTGTTTCACCTCCCCAGCACTCCAGCGTAAAAGTGAAAATTCACAAAGCAGCACTAAAATAGGAAATATAATTAGTCAATGTGTCTAACACTAACCTAACTGCTTAGAGTGGTAAAGGCAAGATAAACTCAGAATTTAGCTTCTTATCATGCATCTTCTCTCTTTTTGCTTTTGCTATTGACATAATCTTCAGGTTTGTCATTTCTCAACCCCTAACCAAGGTAAAGCAGCTCAAGATCCTCTCACATATGAAAATCTTCTTGTTTACTTCTAATTCCACCAAAAAGAATCCTATGTTCTAAAATGTTTTTTTATTAAGAGAGCTGTAGCAGCCAGGCTTGGTGGTACATGCCTGTAGTCTCCGCTAATTTAGAGGCTGAGGAAGGAGGATTACTAGTGCCCAGGAGCTTGAGACCAGCCTAGGCAACATAGATAGAGCCTGTCTTTAGAACTCAGAGAGAGAAAGAGAGAGAGAGAGACAGAGAAAGAGAGAGCGCGCACAAGTGCGCGCACACGTGCATACCAGCGAGCCTGACTTAGCTCTATAATGTATGACAATTCCAGACAAATTACTATTATTGTTCAAGGATTTATCTTGAGCTCCTTATCTGAGATACAAAGGAAAGTACAAAGCAAGGGAAAAATGACTCAGGTATTATTTTAGTATGAAAAGTTAATCTCAGAAAGACTTATCAAAAGTAACATATTGCATTTAAATAATATTTTAATTTTTTTCAAGAACTTTCACGGATACACTGATCCATATCAATAGATATCTTGTATATTTTATGGAGGAGAAACCTGATAAATAACACTTAAAGCTTACTATCTCTTCCACAATTAGTATCCAGCTTATGCCTGAACTCAAGCCAACCCTGTTGCCAGCTTAAGGTCCTGACACAGGACATAGTAGTGGGCTAAAATGGATTAGAGCAGCCCACTACTTTTCAGCACTCCAATTTCATGAAACCTCAGCACATTTCTAGGACACGTATGAATAAGACAATACACTGGCAATTTAAAAAAAGAGAAGAAAGTAGAAGAAATGATAAGAAGAAGGCATCACATACTCTAAGAAAAAGGACACAGGATGTGATTTGATGAAGAGTTAACATTGAGGTTGCTGCTGTCACATCCATATAGTAATCATACCCTACTGAGGCTCTGTTCCTTATCTCTCACCACTGCCAGAATTCAGGAATGCCTGAGCTCCCCTGGAGTAAAGAAGGCAGACTGGCCGGGTGCGGTGGCTCAAGCCTGTAATCCCAGCCTTTGGGAGGCCGAGGCGGGTGGATCACGAGGTCAAGAGATCGAGACCATCCTGGTCAACATGGTGAAACCCCATCTCTACTAAAAATACAAAAAATTAGCTGGGCATGGTGGCGTGTGCCTGTAATCCCAGCTACTCAGGAGGCTGAGGCAGGAGAATTGCCTGAACCCAGGAGGCGGAGGTTGCAGTGAGCCAAGATCGTGCCATTGCATTCCAGCCTGGGTAATAAGAGCGAAACTTCGTCTCACAAAAAAGGAAGGCAGACAGTCTACTCTGTATCTGTTCTCCTTTCTTTCTTAGTTAAAAACAAATAAACAAACAAAAAATAAATAAAAACAAAACAAAACAAACAAACTTCTCTGGCAATGTGCTTAGTTAGCACATTTTCCAACTTTTTTTGCACATAGAAGTAGCCAATGGGGTGTAAGGAGATGTGGTTTTTTCTTTTCTTTTTTAATTACATTTTAGGTTTTGGGGTACATGTGTAGAACATGTAAGATAGTTGCATAGGTACACACATGGCAGTGTGATTTGCTGCCTTCCTCCCCTTCACCCACATCTGGCATTTCTCCCCATGCTATCCCCCAACTCCCCCCACCGCTGTCCCTTCCCTATTCCCTCCAATAGACCCCAGTGTGTAGTGCTCCCCTCCCTGTGTCCATGTGTTCTCATTGTTCATCACCTGCCTATGAGTGAGAACATGCGGTATTTCATTTTCTGTTCTTGTGTCAGTTTGCTGAGAATGATGTTCTCCAGATTCATCCATGTCCCTACAAAGGATACAAACTCATCATTTTTGATTGCTGCATAATATTCCATGGTGTATATGTGCCACATTTTCCCAGTCCAGTCTATCATCGATGGGCATTTGGGTTGGTTCCAGGTCTTTGCTATTGTAAACAGTGCTGCAATGAACATTCGTGTGTATGTGTCCTTATAGTAGAATGATTTATAGTCCTTTGGATATATACCCAGTAATGGGATTGCTGGGTAGGTGATGTGGTTTGGTGGAACTTCTGGGAAAGCCCTGTTATGCTGATATTTTTGCTGCCTGTGGCTTGAAAGGAAATTTAGCAACCTGATCAACAATCTTTGGAGGGAAAAACCAAAGATTTATTGCAATTCCTATTAAAATACCAACCTCATTTTTCACAGAATTAGAAAAAGCAACCCTAAAATTCATGGGAAACAAGAAAGAGCCCAAACAGACAAAGATATCCTAAGGAAAAAGAAAAAAGCTGGAAGCATCATATTATCGAATTTCAAATTATACTACATGGTTATAGTAACCAAAACAGCATGCCACCGGCATAAAAATATATGCATAGATCAATGGATCAGAACAGAAAACTCACAAATAAAGCCACATGCCTTCAGCCAACTGATCTTTGACAAAGTTAACAAAATAAACACAGAGAAAAGGACATCTTATTCAGTAAATGGTGCTAGGAAAATTTGATAGCCACATGAAGGAGAGTGAAACTAGACCCATACACTTAGCATATACAAAAAGTAACTCAAGATAGATTAAAGATTTACATGTCATACCTGAAACTATAAAAACTCTAGAAGAAATCATAAGAAAAACTCTTTTGGACATTGACCTAGGGAAGAAAATTAATGACTAAGACCTCAAAAGCAAACGCAGCAAATCAAAAAACAGACAAATGAGACTTAAGTAAACTAAAAAGCTTCTGCATAGGAAAAGAGATAATCAACAGAGTCAACAGATAACCTACAGAATGGGAGAAAATATTCACGAACTATACATCTGGCAAAGAACTAATAATCCAAGCTCTATGAGAAACTCAACTCAACAAGAAAAAAAAACATTAAAAAGGGGGCAAAGGATACAAACAGACATTTTATGAAAGACACAAATGGCCGAGAAGCATATGAAAAAATGCTCATCATCACTAATCATCAGAGAAATACAACTCAAAACCGCAATTAGATACCATCTCACACAAATCAGAATGTCTATTATGAAAAGTCAAAAATAATAGACGTTGGCAAGGATGCAGAGAAAAAGAAATGCTTATACACTGTTGGTAGGAATGTAAATTAATATAACCACTTAGGAGAATAGTAAGGAGATACCTCAAAGAACTAAAAGAGAACTACCCTTAATCCAGCAAACTTACGAATGGTTAGATAGTTCCCAAAGGAAAATAAATAATTATATCAAAAAGATACTTGCACTTGTATGTTTGTTTATTTTATTTATTTATTTATTTTTTTGAGATGGAGTTTCACTCTTGTTGCCCAGGCTGGAGTGCAATGGTGCAATCTCAGCTCACCGCCACCTTTGCCTCCCAGGTTCAAGCGATTCTTCTGTCTCAACCTCCTGAGTAGCTGGGATTATAGGAATGCCCCACCACACCTGGCTAATTTTGTATTTTTAGTAGAGACAGGGTTTCTCAACATTAGTCAGGCTGGTGTGGAACTCCTGACCTCAGGTGATCTGCCCACCTCGGGCTCCCAAAGTGCTGAGATTACAGACATAAGCCACTGTGCCTGGCCCACTTGTGTGTTTACTGTAGCACTATTCACAACAGCAAAGTCCTGGAATCAAACTTAGTGTCCACCAATGGATAATTGGATAAAGAATATGTGGAATATACATTTTTAATTCTTTTTTAATAGCTGAATAGTATTCCACAGTGTGTGTGTATCTGTATTCACACACACACACACACATACACACCAGTGGAATACTACTCAGCTATAAAGTCTTGTTTGACAAACATAAAGCTGGAAATAAATTATATATATAATGTATATAATATATAATTTATGACACACATACATATACACACACAAATAAATACACACACAGCATGGAATACTACTCATAAAATTACAACTTTTGCAGCAACATGGATCAAACTGGAGGCCATTATCTTAAGTAAAATAACTCAAATACTGCATGTTCTTGCTTAAAAACAAGAGCTAAATAATGCATGCACATGGACACAGAGAGTGGAATAATAGACACTGGAATCTTGGAAAGGTGGGAGGGTAGGAGTGGGGTGGGACAAGGAATTCTCAAGTGGATACAATGTACACACTTTGGGTGATGGTTACACTAAAAGTCTGGTCTTCAGCGCTAAGCGCTATGTCATGTAACACAACTGCATTTGTACCCCCAAACCGATTTTTTAAAAAGTCACAGGGAACTTGCCTCAACACCCTACATCAACATCAACAACAGTCCTGTCTATGAGACTGTGCCATGAGAAAATGGAGGCCCATCAATTTAAACCATTTTAGCTGGGGCTTTTTTTTTTTTTTTCCTAGCAGATAAAGCCAATACCTAAAGTTATACGACTGGCTTTGCTTAAGATTAAAGTCTAGAAAAAGTCCCTGGCAGGTACCACTGCCCTGGAAGACAGGGATTGTTGAACATGTGCCAGAGATGGCATTACCCAGGCTCTTATGGAGGCAATTGTGCATGCAAATGAGAATCAATGTCCCATTAGAAAAGCCTGTGTTTAATTGACGATAAAAACATGCCTAAGGCTAATGGAATGTTATAAGGATTTAAGGACAGCTTTTCTTTTCAAATCTTTGTAAGGGATATTTGCAGATATGGAACTATGAATACTAAGTCTTGTTTGACAAATATAAAGGGGAAATAAACTAGGAATATACCAACTATTGCCCTTTTTAAGAGTTATTTGAGAGTAGAAAGAGATTGGAATCATTGGTTGCACTTGCTGTTTTATAACTGTGGTCGATGCTACACTGCTTTTTGTGCCAAAATTATTATCTCATCCAAGGAAAAAAAACAGTTCACTTACAAATTATTTCCCCTTATTATTTACCAAGGACTTGAGGTTACTTATCCATAAGAAAAGTAGTGGCTGGGCACTTTGGGAGGTCAAGGCAGGAGGATTTGGGAGTTCAAGACCAGCCTGGCCAACATGGTGAAACCCCATTTCTACTAAAAATATAAAAATTAGCTGGGCATGGTTGCAGGCACCTCTAATCCCAGCTACTTGGGAGGCTGAGAGGGGAGAATCACTTGAACCCAGAAGATTGAACTGGAGGTTGCAGTGAGCCAAGATTATGCCACTGCACTCCAGCCTGGGCGACAGAGTGAGACTCCAGCTCAAAAAAAAAAAAAAGAAAAATGAAAAAGAAAAGTAGCCTATACATAGAGGGGTATAAACATGAAATGAAATAAAATGTACAACATTAAACTTCTTACAATTTTTTCTCCTTAAAATTATGCTAAAATACACATAACAAAATGTACACGTCAGCAGCATTAAGTAGTGTATATTCACATTGTGCTCCAACCATCATTATTATCCATCTCCAGAACTTTTTAGTCTTTCTAATTGAGACTCTGTATCCATTAAACATTAACTCCCCATTCCCTTCTCCCTCTACCCTTGACAACCACCATCCTATGTCTCTATAAATTCAGCTGCTCTATGTACTTCATGTAAGCAGAGTCATACATTTGTCCTTTTGTGGGTGGCTTACTTAGCACAGTGTCTTCAAGATTCCACCATGTATTATCAGAATTTTCTTCTTTCTAAAGGCTAAATAATATTCCAGTGTGTATGCACAGTGAGTATATGCATTCATCCATCAATGGATATTTGCGTTGTTTCCACCTTTTGGCTATCATGAATAATGCTGCTATATCTTTTTTTTTTTTTTTTAACAATACACTTTTATTGGCTGGGCATGGTGGCTCATGCCTGTAATCCCAGCACTTTGGGAGGCCGAGGTGGGTGGATCACGAGGTCAAGAGATCGAGACCATCCCGGCCAACATGGTGAAACCCCATTTCTACTAAAAAATACAAAAATTAGCTGGGCATGGTGGCGCATGCCTGTAGTCCCAGTTACTCGAGAAGCTGAGGCAGGAGAATCGCTTGAACCTGGGAGGCAGAGGTTGCAGTGAGCCTAGATCGCCACTGTACTCCAGCCTGGGAACAGAGCAAGACTCTGTCACAAAGCAAAACAAAGATAAAGTTTTATCAAGTCAAGGTGTGGTTTTATAATAGAAAGAATGTTGTCAGAGTCAGAAATTATGGAGGGGAAAGCTACATTTAGATTAAAAGCAAGTTTGGGAGTTTGATTTTGAAGTTTAGATTTCACTGGGTATAATTCTGGAGAGGAGAGGGCAGAAAATGATTGAAAGTTTCCAGGAAAAAAATACCAATCGAAGATAACATACTCCTAAATGGAGAGAGTACCTAAAACTTGATCTCTTAGAGTATCCAAAGTAATCTAGAACAACTCCAGTTCGTCGATCTGTATATACAGTGATGTGATCTAAACATTAGGTTTAAAGGAGAACACTGCAGCTGCCCCAACATGGAATAGTAAATCAAAGATGTAAAAAGCATAAGGGGTACTCAAGGGTCCTTCAACCAATAGGGTTCACTGAAATAATTGAACAAGATTGAAATGGTCGGTTGCATTGTTTCAGTGTTCTCTGACCATAGCCACCTGCTTAACAATAGGAAGCTTATTAAACCAACAGCACTTTATTAACCTGTCTTTAAGGAAACTCTTCTTTATGATTTGCCCCCCAAATTCGATTACTAAAATAATAAGATAATACACCCACTCAGTTCCTCTCCTCTCTCAGAAATCGAAGTTGTCTACTGATCAAAAATACCCTAACAATAAAGATTCTCCTTAGCAGTAATAAAAACCACACATAAAACCTCTCAACCCCATTTTACTAAATGCAAATAAACAACTTGAAGGCAGTAACATGGCCAGAAAAATGTAACACATATTTCATGATTCTGACAAATCAGAACTTTCTTACTCCCTCAGGCTGTGCTTGTTTTTCATCTGGCAAAAGAGTGTTCCAACCCTCCTTCCTCCAGGAGGTCCTGAATTGTCAAATAAAATCAACTGACAAGTAAATATTTCCTGAGCATCTACCGTATTAGTGGACCTAATCACAGAAGGCACAGATGTCCTAAGGTGCTTCTATTGCTGTGATTTTTTTAGTGGTGCCTAAACTAGGAAGGCACTCCTGGTGGAGCAGAAGTACATGTGCACAGAGAGACTGATAGACCTCACCCATCAGTCTCCTTAGGCTGTGGAATTAAAGGTACCTTTGCGGCTGCGTGAGGTGAGGCTCCTTGGTCCAAAAGCAGAAGGGCCACTTTCTGATTATCGTAATGTGCAGCTACATGCAGTGGGGTTAGCCCGCTCTGAAAACACGTGCAGAAACAACAACCAGTGTCAAAGGTGTCTTAATACCAGAGGCCTAGATTGAGGAAATGAGATTAGACTGGATACGGCATAAGGCATATTTACATTCCAGTTTCCACAATACTTGGACCCCAGTATTTACCTTTTATTTCCCAAGGGCTCTTCATCCTAGTAGGACTTAAATATTTAGGTATAATTCAGGTGGCCATTAGTAAATATTAGCAAGTGTCTGTTTTGTTATCATGGAAGTGGCCTGCTTCAGCGTGGCTGGGGATCTCTTACCTTCCCAGCAGCATCTGGAGATGCACTTTTCTGTAGCAGGAGATTGGCGACTTCAAGCTTTCCATATTTTGCTGCCACATGAAGAGGAGTAAATCCTTTCTGGAAAAAAAACCCCATAAAAATAATGAATAATAGAAATGACATAAGGAAAACACACACAAAACCCAAACCAACTACCCAACCAAACAAACAAAAAGATAAGACATAAGGGCTCTGCTTTCCAGAACCGATGAACTGTTCTAATAATGATGAGCAGTGAAGTCTGCAGTTAAAGTCCAAGACTCTTAAATAAGAGTTAAAAAGCCTCCTTCTTGATAGGGTGTGAGCATAACATACCAGGATACCTAATCTTTCTCCCTTCTGCTGACTGAGCCACGGCATGCATGCTATTAATTCTGGAAGTCATCAGGTATCTCGCCAGAATGAAGTTGGAGAGCTGGATCTGGGGCTTATTCTAGGGCTGTTTTAAGAGTTTCATATCGTGGGAAGAAGTTACAGTAACACGCTCAGTTTGGAGGGCTTGGGAAAATCCAGGGCAAGTCTGAACCTCTTACAATCTCACATCACCAGACCGGACACTTTCTCTTCTTGTTTCCCTGCTTCTCTGTGTATACACAATCCTTACGTGTGCTCTAGTCTTCAGGAGGAGGAGTCAGAAATTCTCTCACCTTTGCCACCATAGGTGAACTGAATAATGACATGAATCTAAAATGATGATGTCTATTCTATAGGTGAATTGAATAATGACACGTGGACAAATATACACCAATTGGATGTTAATAGCTGAGTGGCTGCTCTCTCAGGCTTCCAACTCCTACAAGAAGCTGTGTGTCAACCAGCCCAATCAGCATGCTACTGTGGCGGTCCCAGCCATGAGTCAGGGATTAGGGGGGGTCATCAGCACATTCGACCTCAGGAGACCACAGCAAAGTAAAGGGAATGTGCAGCTGATACGGTGAAATGCCTGAATACTCGCGACCCTATCAACCCATTATCATTATTCTGTTTCACATCAAATGAGCTTCCTGAACTTGCATCTTAACTCTACTGAAGAGCCTAAAGAATCACAAGAAATGAAGTCTGAGGTAGTCATCATTTATCCTGATAGTTTTGTATTTGTAATTATCTTCTATATTGAATACACATTAATCTTGCTTATCTCATCCAAATAAAGGAGTGCAGTACCAGTTACTAGCTTTTTAAGATATGCCATAAGCCCATTCATCTTGCTATCACACTTGCTAGGCTTATGTAGTATCACAAGAAAAATGAGCTCCAAATTTTGCATTCTGCACATGCAGAACAACTGTATGTTGTTAGGGTATTACTCTAAGACATCCGAGTTGAAATAAAAATAAACCCTAAGTCAGAGAAGACAATAATGACAACAAAAAAGAACAAAAACAACCCCAAGAAAAATTCACTGCCTGTTTTGCAAGTATTATAAAAGCATCCACCAACTGAGCTGTGGTAACGTGGTTTGCGTGCTTGGCCTGAGCATTTTGCTAATCTGTAGCTCTGTTTTTCAACTACCATTTAAGTCCATCAGAGAACTTACTAGAAATCTGACTCTGGATTTCAGTAAGGTTTCATTAGAAGAAAATGTGCCAAGAAACTTAAGACAAGAAAAAAAAATCCACAAAATACTAACCACCACAGAGCTTTGCTGGCCATATTAATGACTACTGAGGATTGCAAGAACGGATGCTGTCGTGCAGCTTCTGGACCTGTTACTGTGCTGGGAACTGTAAGGATGATGTATTTGGGGGGATAGAGGAGGATTCTGAGATTCAGTCTCATACCTTCGTTGTTATAGATAAAGATGCTCCATGATCCAAAAGGAAGGCAGCAACATCCTCATGCCCCTCTCGGGCGGAAAGGTGAAGTGGGGTGTACCCAGAAGTTGTGGCTGCATTTGGAGATGCACCTTGTTGCAACAGCTGTTGGACTATGTCTGCTTTCCCCAGTCGGGCTGAAATGTGGAGTGGGGTTTGGTCATCCTAAACAGCAAGGTAGAAATGTAAGGCCGATGAGCTGAGAAAACAGTGATGCATTTATGAAAAATTCAGGGGACATTAGCTGCCTGATGTAAGAGGTACATTCAACTATTTGAGTCAATGCTAAAAAAAAGATCTTATCTTTTTCTTCAACGTTCAGAAATGAGATGGTAACTCTAAGCTCATTAAATAGCATTAGAGAGTGACCCATTAATAATAAAACTGTGAAACATGGTTCTATCCATAAATGTTCCCCCACCATCACCTGCCACAGAGAATCAATTTTGAACTTTTATTGTTCCTTCTTTGGGAGATAAGAGAACATATCCTAGTAAAAACTCATATACCTGGGAGGGACATTATACCTCCACACCAGTTATTAGCACTCACATGGAATGAATTATTTTGTTGGTTCGGCCTTCCCGTAGACAAAAGGAGAGGGTGAGGAAGGCAGTGCAGGGTTGCGCGGTATACCTGCGCAAAGGCTCCGGGTCGAAGCGTCAGCAGGGGCTGATGTTCTCTGCTTGCCAAGCTGTGCATCCTGGCATGGGCTGCATCTGTCTAGACTAGACAGCCCCCTCACTACAATTCATCTAAAGGCAGGAGGTACTCACCAAATCCTGATCCCCTAGGGTCTTATCCCTAAGTGGGAGGTACAACTTACCCTAATTTGCTCAAATATCCCCTGTGGTAGCCCTCCAAATAGAAATTCTCTACTAAATTGTGATAAGGTTCAGTTAAGTGCTTTAAGAAGGAAAGGCAGAGAAAGAGGCTAGAATAGAGGACACCGTTTTGGAAGAGTAGGGGGGATGGGGTCAGTGTCAAAGTTAGAGGGACTATCTAACCAGGAGGAAGCGTAGGAGGAGTTAGGGAGATACCACAAGGAAGAAGAGGAATATTGAAAGCCGAAAAAAATAGGTGCCAAAGACAGATCTCATATACTGCTACTGCAGCCACCCCTTAACTTGAAACTAGAGACTGCAGACTCAGTATATTTATATTTACATATTGCAGGTTGAAATTAAATGGTTTATGATTCTGGACCTGAACTGCCATTCTGATAACTAGAGCAAACTATTCATCTCAGTAGCAGCAGATAAGTGGGTTTCTCCTGCAGGTGAGATAGGAGGCCAATTCTGAGTGACCAAACAGTTTGTGCAGAAAAAAAAAAATGCCCCTTTTTCCATTTGTGGCTGTTGACAGCTGACATATAAGTCAACCAAGAAAGCTCACTTACGCTTCCGAGTCGTGATCATTCTAGAAGCTTTGTGCAGAAGCCCTTCTCCATGGAGTGTGAAGAACTTTGGACTAAGTCTAGATTCAGTCCCTACCCTGTTAGGGACTAGCCATGTGTTGACACTTTCAGGCACAAGTCATCCTATTTCATTTTGTCAAATAATTAAATGAACAAATGTGGAGAAAAGTGGTTTTTTAATGTTATCTGGGTAGGGACTTTCATCATTGGAGGTTGTCCACTATTTTTAAAGTGTTCTTGAACGATGTCATGTATATATTTAAAAGTTTTATGAAAATCAAAGGGTTTTTCCTCCGTTTCAAATACGTACCTTAGCTTTAGCTTCTACCTGAGCTCCGTCTTGTACCAGATACCGCACAACTTCAGCTTGGCCAGAGCGAGCCGCCATGTGCAGTGCTGTTTCTCCTCTCTAGGGGACATGAGCCAAAGTAAATTAGCTGCAGCTCTGAAGAAGAGTGCCGTATTTTATTTGGCATAAAGCTTATAATGACATTTTTTCAACAATCAAAAATAGTCCTAAGCACTTCCTTATTGAAAAGATATGAAACCAAATGCAAAAGAATTTCACAGGAAGCTGGTCTGAGGCAAAGACTTTGGCATAAGCCAAGGGGGTCTTGTCAATCACTGTGCCGGGGTGCTACTTAGTAACCTACAGTGTGGCCTCCCTGTAGCTAGAAAGGTGAGTTCTCACAGGAGCCAAGCAGGCCGGTGAGTGAGTGCAGCAGGGTGGGTGTGGCATGTACCAGAGAGCCCATACCTGCGCTGAAGAGGGCAGCCCACAACCCCCGCCGCCCCTGCATCTGCAGCTCCCTGCTGTCACTGTGCAGGATGCCAGCCTTACCATGTCACACCTTGCTACTTTTCAAAAGAAGTGGCAGTCTGGATATTTGTATGAATTTTCCAATTCTTAAATATTGACCATAAATTCAGAATTAAAAACATGTGTTGACACTTTCAGGCACAAGTGCATGTTACATGGGCAACATAAACACAGCCGAGGGCCAGATTTGGCTTGTCAACAGCTGGTTTGTATTTCCTGTTTTATCTGAACAGATCAGTATCTTCATCTTTGGGCATTTTCCCAGTGGGTCATTTTATTTGCACCGGACCACCCTCCCCCTACTTTTTCACCAAACAGATTTTAATTCATATTACTTTACTTGATTAAAAATGAAAATGATATTGGAAAGAGATACGCTGAAACATACAAATAACAGAAATCCTATTTTCTCACCCAAGTGATGCTCACTTGTAAACTGCCTTTATAAATTGAGCTTTGCTTTACAGGCCACCTACTTCCACGCAAGGACACATGAAGACAGATTTCACAGGAAGCTGGTGGACTGTGTTTACTGGAAAGGTGCTGAGGACGTCATTTAGTGTATTTCTCAGCATTCTCTTTATGAATGAAAACATTCTCTACAATTAGTACCATGAAAGACTATATTTCATCTGAGAAGCTGGTCTGTTTCTACCTTATGGTTGTACTGCTTGGGGCAGCTGGAAGATACAGTCTTACTGGGGAGCCCCACTCTCAGGGTGAGGGTGCAGGACCTCCTAGCTTGCCCCTTCTGTGCCAGGATGGTCCTTGTTTTATTGTTACTTCTTTAAGGCTCATGAGTCTGACAAATGTTGTTATGCTCGTGGTCTGTTTGGCTAATATTGATGTCAAATTTGAAATTCTGTAGAACAATGTCAAATGCCACATGCAGATCATGGGTGGTAAGTTACTACTCTGATAGCCACTCTGAAGGGAGCCTCGTGGTTCCTACAGAGCAATGCTTAGTGTGAAAAAATAATACCACCAGGTAATCTATGAACACAGTGTTCCATGGGTTTGCTATAACATGGTGAAGTATATTAAAGAGAGACTACTTTAAAGTTCGCTAAAATCACTTCTTTCTTTCTTTCTATTTTTTTTTTTTTGAGACAGAGTCTTGCTCTGTTGTCCCGGCTAGAGTACAATGGCGTGATCTTGGCTCACTGTAATTTCTGCCTCCCAGGTTCAAGTGATTCTCATGCCTCAGCCTTCTGAGTAGCTGGAATTACACGCATGCGTCACCACGCCCAGCTAATTCTTTTCTGTATTTTTAGTAGAGATGGGTTTCACCATGTTGGCCAGGCTAATCTTGAACTCCTGACCTCAAGTGATCTGCCCACCTCGGCTTCCCCAAGTGCTGGGATTACAGGTGTGAGCCACTGCACCCTGCCGCAATCACTTCTTTGTATAAATAACGATAGTGTCTAAACCACTTCTCCAACATGCAATACTTTTTAATGCTTCTGTTATAGAAAAATCCCCCCCACACTTAATTTTTTAAAACATAATATCCAGTAGTAGTGCACCTGTAAGGTTAATGAACATAGTCCATAGTCCTAACAATTTCTGACCAACTAGAGACTAAGAGTATCTTGCCTTTGTAGTAAAGGAAACCAAATGCATTCTTGAATTTTCTTCTTTTAAGTAGTCATATTAATTACATATTAATTAATTATAACAACAATAAGGCCAGGCATGGTGGCTCATGCCTATAAGCCCAAAATTTAGGAGGCCAAGGTAGGAGGATTGCTTGAAGACAGGAGTTCAAGACCAGCCTGGGCAACATAGCAAGGCCCTGTTTTTACAAAACATTTAAAAATTAGCGGGGCATGATGGCACACTCCTGTAGTCCCAGATGCTTGGGAGGCTGAGGTGGGAGGATCACTAGAGTCCAGGATTCAAGGCTGCAATGAGCTATAAGTGCACCACTGTATTCCAGTCTGGGAGACAGAGCGATACTCCAACTCTTAAAAAATAAAAATAAAAAAGTAGATAAAAACCACCTTTGGCAGTTCATTAAATACTCACAATGGATCTCCTTTGTTCAAAGAATACTTACCACATTGGTGGTGTTTGGTGAGGCTCCATGATGCATTAGTTGTGATACAATATTTACATGCCCCATGAAGGCAGCAACATGGATTGGGGTAAGGCCCGACTAAAGGGAAAAGAAGAAAATGGTTTGTTGGCTTAGCATAAAAAATGTTTGTTTGTAAGCCTGCCCTCCATCCATCCATCCATCCATCCATCCATCCATCCATCCATCCAAACCAATTTAATGATCAGATTAGAAGACACCAGGACATTCACCATTATGCCACAGATTCTATATGGTAAATATATCAACACATAATCATCATTTTCCTAAATGAATTCTGTCACTGTGAAAGACTTATGTCATACCTATTAAAGAAGAAAAAGAATTTATTTCATACTTTCAATGTAGATCTTTGAAAAAAATTGATAAATAACTTGAAGGTTTTTATTAGGTACTAATAAACCTTCTTTATTCATATAAGTATGTGTGTATGTACAGGGAGGACAGTGGTGATTTCACACATATTAGTAAAAAGTCAACTTTTTAATTTCAGATCCTATTCTGGGCTTTAAAGTGGATTCCCATGCACTCAGAATTGATTATGTCACACATAAAAGAACAAATCAGGATTAATAGTTTCAAACATTTAATATTTTAACTTTATGGATATTACAAATTAAGGCAATATAATTAAAGTAAATATTACAATGGTCACTAGATTAGACTTGAATTGCTTGAGATCCTATGCACACATACATATATATACTTATACACAGACCCCAGAGCACTCTTCAGCATAAAACAGAATTTATTAATTACAGGGTATTTTCATATTGAACATGCCCATGATTGTGAGATTTAAATAGAGAGAATAAAAATGATAAAATTTCAAGTCATTAATCTTTTTAAAGAGTATCATTTACTTGTGCTTTTTATGTGAAATGATTCCATTTAAAATTTTTCAGTTTAATTTAGCTTAGAACATGTCCATCATAACTTGATAAAATTTTTTTAGTATATCTAGAAAAAGCTAAACTGTTTTTTAAAAAGAGACAGAAGAGGATAATTAATCTTAGCAGAGACTTGAGGAATGTCAAAAATATATGAAAGGAATGCTATAAAATCAAAGTGAGGTAAAAGACAGAAAAGGAATAATCCTGGCTGCCTAGACTTCAAATAATGAGACGCTAGAGGACAACTTGGAAAATGAGAATTTTGTTACAGTCTTGGAACCTTTTTCCATCAGTAGGGGGAGTAGTTATAACTCGTTCAAGGCAAAATCTTTGTCTGAACTACCTTTTAAAGCTCTTAGGGAGCAGAGAGCTACATTACTGGTTTACGTCTCTGGACATTTACTCAAACATCAGCCAAGAATTTACTTTTATTTCAGAGCCTATCCTGATCTCTAAAAGGGTTCCTATGCATTTTAACTCTCTATTTTATACTTAAAAATAACAGGTTGCCTAATATGAAGCCATAAGTCTGACAATATGGCAAATCAATATTCATATTGTCAACCATTTAATATTTTAGAAATTTTAAGTGTTACAAATCTAGGCAAATATTCCATTTGCAGGCAGGAAACTGAAGCCAAGCAATAATCACTAGACTAGACTTTAATTTTTATGTTTGCTTCAAATCCTATAGTTAAGCATCAGGCATTCAACAAAACTTTACTGAATGATCTACTATGTACGAGCCAGGCACTGTGGGTATATGAAGACCAGTCAGACTCGGCCCAGCCTCCAAGGAGTCTTCAGCCTCTGGGGGTTGTGGGGTTGCAGCTGAGTCATAAGTCAGATAGCTAGATAAAGTCTTTGATGGAAATATGCACAGGATGTGGGGATGGTTTCTAGAAGGAACATGTATTCCAGGCTGGTGAGTGAGGGGAGGTTTCCTGAAGAAGGTGGCCCAGATTTAGGATGTGCAGGATTAGCCGGGCCAAGGGGGTGTGACACACAGAGGTATAGATATACAGAGGTGGACCAAAGAGTGTCTAGTCTTTGGAAGTCCCAAGGGTTAGAATTAGAATGAACAAAGACCAGAGTGGTAGGAGGCAGGGAGGTGGAGGTTGAGGGCCTGGGACAAGTCTGAAAGGGTAGGTGTCAGGCTTGGTTTGCTTTGTAGAAGGTGCAGCCTTGATTTTGATGGATCATTTCTCTGAGTTTTGAGTTGGTTTCTATGGGAGAAACGTAGGTCTAATCCTTTACTAACCTCAGCAGCTGTTTCATTAATTCTGAGTTTGGAGACAGAGTAATCCTTACTCGACAAAAGCACTAAGGTCATTTTGTGCAGGGTTTCTCAACCTCAGCACATTTGACATTTTAAATCAGTTAATTTTCATTGCAGGAGACTGTCCTGTATACTGTAAACTGTTTGGCATTGACCCACTAGATACCAGTAGTACTATCCAGTTGTGACAACCTAAAGTACCTCCAGACATGACCAAACGCCCCTTGGGGGACAAAACTGAACCCATTAGAGAAGTAGCACTGTCCAGGATTTTATATAAATTATGCTTTCTGTGATGATGCCGTTCCCCGAGTGAGTGTTTTAGGCTACATTTCTTGACACGATGATACATTTGCATCCAGCTCACCCACCAACATGGTTGTCTGCTTCTCCTAGGGACTGGCAGCCCTTTTGCTGAAGAGTTCAGAATGCAGTCTATGATCATGATACACAAACTAGCTGGTCCCTGGAGATAGCCCTGGGGCTCTGGCTGCTAAGGCTATACTATTGGTATCTCAGGACTCCCAGAAATCTTAACTTTTCTCACCTCGGTTACAGCTTGGATGGATGCACCATGTTTCAGAAGGAGTTCCATTACTTTAATTCGATTCTTCTTGCAGGCAATATGAAGAGGGGTAAAGCCATTCTGCAAGGAACGAATACACATACCTGCTTGACTACATTCCATCAACATCCAGTTTCACTATGTGCATTAAAAGAGTTTTGCTAAAATGATGCGTGGTACATTGAAATGAACAGAAAGTACTGGGGTTAGGCAGCATGTAGATTCTACTCTGGAAGTAGAGGTAGTCTAGCTTCTCTAGGAACCCAAGGTACCCTGGTAATTTTGAACAGGAATTGAATTTTTGTTACAGTCTCCTGGTTAGCTGAGGTAAAAATGATCATTTCTTTTGTTATTTTATTTTGAAATTCACCCTTCCAAACAATATGTCCCAGGCTGGGTGTGGTGGCTCACACCTATAATCTCAGCACTTTGGGAGGCCGAGGTGGGTGGATCACCTGAGGTCAGGAGTTTGAGACCGGCCTGGCTAACATAGTGAAACCCTGTCTCTACTAAAAATACAAACATTAGCCGGGTGTGGTGGCAGGCACCTGTAATCCCAGCTACTCAGGAGGCTAAGGCAGGAGGATTGCTTGAACCTGGGAGGCAGAGGTTGCAGTGAGACAAGATCATGACATTGCCCTCCAGCCTGGGCTGCAAGAGCAAAATGCCATCTCAAAAAAAAAAAAAGGCCAGGCACGGTGGCTTACACCTGGCATCCCAGTACTTTGGGAGGCTGAGGCGTGTAGATCATGAGGTCAGGAGATTGAGACCATCCTGGCCAACATGGTGAAAACCCTTCTCTACTAAAAACACAAAACTTAGCTGGGTGTGGTGGTGCATGCCTGTAGTCCCAGCTACTTGGGTGGCTGAGGCAAGAGAATCGTTTGAACCAGGAGGCTGATGGTGCAGTGAGCCGAGATAGCGCCAATGCACTCCAGCCTGGTGACAGAGTCAGACTCTGTCAATCAATCAATCAATATCTCATTTCAAATATAGTCTGAAAATGTCTGGGCAGGAACATCTGTCCTCACAGCTCAGCTTCAGCCCGGTTTATTCGGTCCTCTTTGCTGTGTTTTAGGACAACTAAAAGACCAGCTCTAAAATGTTTTCATTTCTTCTCTAGCTTTATGCTTCAAGTAGGTGTTTACTCCAAGGATGCAGAAATGTAAATATCCCATTATTTGAATCATTTGATTTACTATTTAATCTAATACAAGAATCTGCTTTTTAATAAATTATATCCCAAGTTGTCCTGCCTGATGATTGAGAATGTGGCACATATTTCAGCTGCAAGTGGAGAACTATAAAATACTAGAGTCCACTGCAAAAGCTTCGGTTAAAATCACCGCAGGTGCTTTCACCGAGGCTTCTCAGACCATTTGGCCACAATCCATCCCAGGATGACTGGCTGCAACCTCCATATGTTGCGGAATCTTCAGAGTCAGAGGAAAATGAGAGCGGGAGTCCACACCCTGTTTTAGGACTTATTTCTTCTTGTATGGAAAAATGAGTCATGACTGCTAATTTCCTTTCCTCTATTCTCAGAATTCAGACACATTTGATAGACTGGGTGGGTCAACAGATCTTGAAATGTTGCTGTGGTAAAAGGTTGTAGAATTACAGTGGCAAGGAGCTGTTTGGGGTCTGGAGAGTTTCTCTTTTGTCATTCTTTCCCACCCACTCTGAATTTTAGAGCCCCCAGAGTATAAGAGGTGGTATGGACCTATCCAGACAGGATGACCACACCCTTTGGAAAGGGGCAAAAACCCTTCCTAAAAGGGTCAATTGGATGACAACCTCTACCTCAAAATTGCTAGTAATCCCACATGTTTTCCCTAAAATTGGATGAGTTATTTTTTCCTAAACATGAGTACTTATTCTGAAATAGACAGCTCACTAAGTTGGGACCATTTATTTTTGCAAAGACAACAAGCACCATCTTGCTGAGAAAACCAAAGTATAGAATAGCTAAAGGTGAGGAGAATAAATTATCTTAAAGTTAAGCCTCTAAACTGGACCAAAATTCTGACTGGCAAATGGAAACAGAAGATTACAGGCAATATTTCATTAACTTACAAGGTTAAGATAATATAAAATTTTAGCTCACAAGTTCCCAGACCTCTTATATTTAAAATAGTTTTTCGATAACTTTGCCTTATTTTCAGATTTCAGAATAAACTTTTAATTCACAGAATAAGTTTATCTACAATAAGATGACGTTGGCCACCTTAGTCTTTTCATAATTGTAGAGTCTTTGGGTTCATAAGGGAAACACTTATGTGACCATAAAAACATTAACAATTTGGCTCCATCAGCCAGAAGTAGAAAATTTTGTAGATTTTCTTGAAGGATATTTGAAAAAATTGACAAGAAGTACACTGTAACTAGCACCTTCCATTTTAACCTCCTCAAAGCAATCCCTTCACATGCAGAGGCAGAACGTTGTGAGCAGGACCACTGAGCTTGGACTCGCTGGCAAGCCACTCACCAAGGCTTTGGCATTGGGGTTAGCTTTCTTATCCAAGAGAACCTTGGCGACCTTGTAATGGCCACAGTGGGCAGCCACGTGTAGGGCAGTCAGGTAGTCATTGGTGACATCGTCCACGGGTACATTATGCTGGAGGAGAAGCTGGACGCAGTTTAAATGATCCCCTTGTGTGGCCATGTGCAATGGAGACAATCCATTCTGGAACACATAAAGAAATCAACATTTATTCTTTTTCTTTTAAACAGAAATGTGCAGAACACAAAATAAAGTGCAAATATAAACAGATGAAAACTTCAGTTCTTCACATAAAAATACCCTCTATTTTTAAAAGCTTTTGACAAGTATTTGAAATATAGCTATTTTTAAAACTGGTCCTCCCACCGCTTATGTCAGTGAATAACAAATTGTCAAGGATAATGTCTTTTCCTAATAGTAGTGTGAATTGCAGCATGGGTCATGACTTAGATGAATAGGAATTTTACTTTTATTTTTATTTATTTTTTGACATGGAGTTTCACTCTTGTTGCCCAGGCTGGAGTATAATGGCACGACCTCGGCTCACTGAAACCTCTGTCTCCCGATTTAAGTGATTCTCCTGCCTCAGCCTCCCCAGTAGCTGGGATTCTCCTGCCTCAGCCTCCCCAGTAGCAGGCATGCACCACCACACCCCACTAATTTTGTATTTAGTAGAGATGGGTTTCTCCATGTTGGTCAGGCTGGTCTCGAATTCCTGACCTCAGGTGATCTGCCTGCCTCTGCTCCCAAAATACTGGGATTAAAGGTGTGAGCCACCGTGCCCGGCTGACTTTTCTTTTTATTTTAAATAGAGATGGGGTTTCACCCTGTTGCCCAGCTAGTCTTAAACTCCTGGCCTGAAGTGATCCTCCTGCCTTGGCTTCCTAAAGCACTGGGATTGTAGGTATGAGCCACTGTAACTTGGCTGAATAGGAATTCTTAATATTTAAGACAAAAGGAAAAAATGAAGATTGGTATTCATTGGACTGGTATTAGTTTTGTCCTTAAAAATTACTAATACCTGATATTGAAGACTATATTGATTTGACTTTTTAATAAAAGGTCTGAACGTAATGCATTTCATCTCACATCAAAGAAGAAAGAAAAACTTTTCCCTTTCCCATCAATCTGGTGCCCCCAGGTGTCTATGAGGAGGAAAGGCAAGACATTGACAAAACCATTAGCTAATGCTTGCCTTGTTAGTTTAAATCAACTGGGTTTAACAACACAGTTAATCATGTGGAGTAGGAATGAGTTGGAAAATTCATTTAAAGAGCAGAGAGAATAAATAGGGTCAAGTAAATAAATAAATAAAACCTTAAAAATGTTTAGAATGACATTGACATTCAATATGTTTCCTAAAGAAGGCAAAACAAGATATGAAGACATCGATCCTTTCCTTTACCTCTGATGGCAAAGTGGGGGAGCCTGGGAAATTCCAAGAGAATTCAATTATCGAGAGAGGCTCTATTAATTATTGTAATATAATTTAACATTTTTTTGAGAAAAGTAATTTGGCAGCAAATTCAGTTTCTAAAACAGTGGTCGTCAATGAATTTTGACAATAATGACCTGTCCAGTATGCTCCAAGGAACCAGAGGTTTCTGAATTCTCTGAGCCAAGTTATTTGCTTTGAATCTATCAACTAATGGCATACAAGATACGAAAAAGTAATATAAGCTTCTCGTTAACCATTCTCATGGCATTATTCACTCTGACATATATTCAACTATTTGCATTCCTCGAAGGCAAGAGGTACATGGTTATTATTTCTCCATTGCCCAGGAAAGAGCTTTGCATATACAGAAAGAGCTCATCAAATATCTAGGTCAATGTAAAGGCCTTGTACACTGTCAGTCTATCAGTATATTTCTGCCTAAAAAGTTTCCCTCAAATATTTTAAACCACAGAAATTAAGGTGCAGGAAAAGGTAGGAACATTTCCCATTTGAGATACTGCTACCCACGAGCATATGGACTGCTTTATTCCTGCCCATTCTTTTGCTTTATGTTTTTTTTTTTTCTTTGAGACAGAGTCTCACTCTGTCACCCAGGCCAAAGTGCTCACTGCAACCTCCACCTCCCGGATTCAAGCAATTCTCACGCCTCAGCCTGCCAAGTGGATGGGACTACAGGCACATGCCTTCATACCCGACTAATTTTTGTATTTTTAGTAGAGATGAAGTTTCACTATGTTTGCCAGGCTGATCTCGAACTCCTGCCCCCATGATCTACCTGCCTCGGCCTCCCAAAGTGCTGGGATTATAGGCGTGAGCCACTGTGCCCGGCGTCTGCTTTATGTTTTGATACAGTCTTAGAGGAAAACTTGAAGTAAACAAGCAAATAAAAAAATCCACAAAATCTGAGAGAAAAAGTAATAGTGGAGAGTAGTAATGGGAGGCAGTGTCAATAAAAAAAATTCTCTAGCAATGCAAAAACACAATGATTGTATGAATGGGAAAGTTAAAGATTAGTGGAGAAGGATAAGAAAACAGTAAAGATCAACTGCCCTATGGAAAGAGGTGGTATTACATATGGTGCCTCAAAATATGGATCCAATGTGATGGGCTTTCTAAGCGCAGTAAGATAAATTTTTTTTTTTTTTTTTTAAAAGATGGAGTCTTGCTCTGTCACCAGGCTGGAGTGCAGTGGTGCAATCACAGCTCACTGCAACCTCCACCTTCTAGGTTCAAGAGATTCTTCCACCTCAGCCTCCCGAGTAGCTGGGACCACAGATGCGTGCCACCATGTCCAGCTAATTTTTTTTGTATTTTTAGTAGAGATGGGGTTTCACTGTATTGGCCAGGATGGTCCCGATCTCTTGACCTCGTGATCTGCCCACCTCAGCCTCCCAAAGTGCTGGGATTACAGGCGTGAGCCATCACGCCCAGCCAATGATGAAATTCTTGACAAACTGGTCAGATGGCCTTAAGGCTAGGAATGTAGTCATTCATTTAATAGTCATTCAACAAATATTTACTGAAGCCCTACTGTGTGCTGGATACTAAATTAGGTGCTTGTGGGTATTGCACTGAACAAGGAAAAATTCTTGTTTCATTCTGCTGAAGAGAACCAGACATGCATGCAAGTAAACAAGCAGATAATTTCAAGATGGTGTTAAAAGCTCTAAAGGAAGTAAAATATGGCCAGATGGCACTGGCGGGGGGTGGTGAAGATGAAAGGGGTAAATCGTGAGAAAACGCCTGGCTAGGAGGAAGACATTTGAGTTGAAGAATGTAGGGGGCCACAGAGATCTGGAAGAAACTGAGGGAACACAAACCAAGAAAACAGGAAACAAGAACAAACGTGTAGTCAAGGAAGTAAAAGAAGGCTGGCCATCTGGAAGATGGTCGGGGGGAGCAAAACCAGAGGAGATGAGGAAGAAAGGTGGTCAGAATCTGTTAAGTAGGCTATCCTCAGTGCAGAGGGGGGCTTCTGACCAAACATGGCAGATGTAATAGCTATACTTATACTTCCTCTCCCAAAACTCCACCAAATAGCAGTAATCGAATTTAAAGGGTAAAATCCAGACGGACACACATGTGTTATGTCCTTTTCCATTCCCACGTACACAATGGGGAAGGAATCAAAAACAGATGAGGGTTGTCTCCAAACTTTGGAATATGAAAAGAGGTAATTCGAGGGGCAGGCAAAAAAAAAAGAAAAGAAGAAAAAGAAAAAAAAAAGAGGTAATTCATCCAGCTGAAGAGAGAGGCTGAAACCCAAGTGTCTGTGAAGCAGTATAATTAGTGCTGGGCTGACAAACGTTTAACATCCAACTCCTGGAAAAGGAAAAGCCCCAGTGTGTGGCACGAGCCAATTTCCACGCTGTAAATACCCCCACAATAAGCAATTTCAAGCCGTCCATATGATGTTACTGAATGTGGAATTAAGAAATGAACTCAACCAGCTCACGAGCTGATACAACCAGGCTCCAGCACACTGCTGGGAATAAAAAGACAAGCTGATTTGCCTCTCAAATCCCAAAAAGGTAGAGGATGTGGAAACGCAGTACCTCGGAAGATAAGATGAGACTTGGGGCCGCGAGTAAGATTCCTTCAAAAGCTGTGTATGGAGCCCTCAGGTCTCCAGACCTTTCCCAACTCAGCATAGTCAGATAACTGCCTCCTTCTAGCCTGAAGAACATCAGAGTTTAGTGTCTGGATAAGGTGAGCGGACTCAAGGGCCCAGGCAGAACAGAGCACAGTGATGAGGACCTGGACCGAGAGTAAGTGGTCACAGAAAAAGGAAGGAGAATGGAGCTGTTAAGGATGTGGTCTCTGGAGTTAGACTGTATGGGTTCAAATCCTTGTTCTGTACTAACTGAGATTTTGAGAAAGCTACTCTATGTCTTTGGGTTTCAGTTTCCGCCTCTATGAAAAGGGAGTAACAGCAATAACAGTATCTCATAGAGCAATTGTGAGGATTAAATGAATTAATACGTGTAAAGAACAAAGAGCCTGATAAGCAGTAATCACTATGTAAATATTGTTATCATTATTATGATTAAAGTACGCATAAAGCAAAGACTGGCAGCTTCTTTCCCCTACTCAGATTCACACAGGTGTGCACTACAAAGGTTGGTGGGTATGTCTTTCAAAAAAACTGTACCGCCCCAAGGTAAAAGGAATCAAATCCTGACATTAAAGAGCCCCTCTTAACCACTGCCATCTGATCAGCACTGCCTACATTCTTTAGAGCTTCCACTCACATGTTTGTGTCTGACATAGTTAGGTACAGCCACTGTCGGAATCCTTCAATATAAAAGATAGAGGCAAAGCAAAAAAAAAAAAAAAAAAAAAAAAAAGAGAGAGAGAGAGAAAGAAAATCTGAGGAATTAGGCACATTTGGGAAACAGGAAAACTAAAAGAAAAGGTATCTCAACTGCTCTCAAAAAGGTAACAGAAAATATTGTACCCATTAAACAAGAATAGAATACTTTAAGAAAAGAAGCTATCAGAGAACAAGAAAATGTTCTTGAAAATTAAAAGTCTGGACAAAAAAAAATCAACAAAATTTCTCAGAAAAAAATCCAAAGCAATGAGATGAATAGGAGAAAAAAGATGAGCAACTCTCTGATTTTTAACATTGGTCCTTATAGCTTTGGGAAAATGAAAATCAATTTGAAAAAGAACAATGGGGATTAATGGGAGGGTTTTTAAGCAGGAGCTGACATGATTTGGTTGACAGTTTATATGGCCACTCTGACTGCAAAGTGGGAACTGAATTGTAAAGGAGCAAGAAGGGAAATGGGGGATCAATAGCAGGCTACCACAGTGGTTCAGGGAGAGATGATAATGTGGCTTAGAAGACAGCAGTGGAGGGGGAAATAAAATAGATATGGGATATGGGAAAAGAATATATAGAATCATCAAGATGAGAAACACTCAAAAGGCCAAGATGTCATCATATATAGAAAACATCATGGCTGCTTGATTCTGTTAGATAACACCCTCCACACACAGCTCACCAGTCGAAACCCTACATTTTAAATGGGTGATGGAATTGTCCAGACCATCTAACCCTTTCCCGTCTTCCTAATATTGTTGAGGAAGCACTGATCAGAGTATAAACAGAAATAATACGTGCTCTTGTTGCTTTGATAATGTTCAGAGATTAAAGCTCTTAATAAAGCTTCACATCATTTCTAAAAAATCACTGGTTTAATAAAAATAGTAGTGACAATGAGGTGGTTTATACGTCTCAAAATTTATTTGCAAATATTCTTTTTCAAATGATGTCAAATAGTTTTACTATGGAAAAAAAAAAAGAAGTCTAAAAGACACTCAACCATTATTTTCTTTTTCAAGCAATCATCATGTGTTCCTTACAGATATATCAACACTCCCAAAAGCCCAATCAAGGTGCAATTTTGCCAAAGTTTCCAGTCTTCATTAGCTAAGTGATATCCTTGACCTCCTTAATAGTCTGTAAACTCTCAAGAAATAAGCTGAGGGGTTAGAGAAAGACAGCCAGCACTATACTTTAGAGAGCGTAGAACTTTTAGTCTTTCTTAACGTGACAAGCAATTATTTCTGAGCTATGAAAATTTCACTGAGTAAAATCAAGCAGTAAGCATTCCTGAAACAAAACTCCCCCCCCCACTCGCCCACACACCAGTGACTTTGTGGTATAGCACATTGTACATAAAATCTTAACAAACCCAAACTTATTTTGAGGTTCTCTAAAGATTTGGTGAACATAGCTACTCTGATTGCTACACTGAAAATGTCATTTTCTATGCGATTCAAAAGGCTTCATCATATAACCACCAAAATAAATACAGTCCAGAAACCTGAAATGAAGTTACCTTGGTTTTTGAAAGAATGGGGGCAGCTCGATCAAGCAGCATTTCTACCACCTGCTCATGACCACTCCTTGCTCCACAGTGCAGTGGTGTCAGACCATCCTGTTGAAGAACAAAGAAAACGTCGCCAATTAAATTTGACAATGAATTCTATAAGTGCAGTCTATTTCAAGATCCGGCATGGCACCCAATATGCTGTAGGCAAGAGGGCTTCGAGCATTTGCTCATTTATTTCATAAAATACTTTCTTATTTTTAAGTTGAAAACTACATTTTTCTATGTTTAAGTAACTGTAAGATATGTAATTTCCCACAAGTTTGAATATTAACATTTAAATATGTACTTTTCCACTACTCTTTTGAATAGCCAATAAAATCTAAGTACTCCAAGTAATTTGATGCTCACCATTAAAAAAAACACAAGAATAAACTTTTAAATAGAAATTTGTAATAGAAATTCTACATTTGTTCTTTTTCCTCTTGTGTTTCTATTTCCATTCCATTTCCCCTACATAATTTTATCTTAATGTAACTTTATGCTTGAAGGTTTTTTATTGATTACCACATATTTCTCTGCCACGAAATTATGTAAGTTTAAATTTAAGAAAGGTTTAAATATTTCCCAACACATCTCTAAATATAAAAAATGAATCTCCTGATACGATTATTATAATTATTTGAATACATCCAATCAAAACAGCAAAAATATATTAAAAGTTTTGTGACCATTCCACAAAAATAATGTGTCAAAAATTTCTCCTTTAATAAGATGGATTTTTGATGACTAGCTTATGTATCTGCTAATGAAGATTAGTTATTGCTAGAATGAGACAGGGTTCAGCATCTATATTAGCCCTGATGTTTGCTTTTATAGATATTAGTGCTGAGAAACCCTGTTTGCATAGAGCATTGCAGGAGAGTTATAAATTCTCTGAACTAAATTCCATGTGAAAAATTACTTGATGATCTCTGTCTTTAAAATCTTACCAGAAAAAAAAAAAAAAAAAAGATACAGGTACAAATCATGTAGGTTACCTAGGTACATGTGTGCCATAGTGGTTTGCTGCACCTATTGACTCATCCTCTATGTTCCCTCCCCTCACCCTCCAGCCCCCAACAGGCCTTGGTGTGTGTTGTTCCCCTTTCTGTGTCCATGTGTTCTCATTGTTCAACTCCCATTTATGAGGTATTTGGTTTTCTGTTCCTGTGTTAGTTTGCTAAGAATGATGGCTTCCAGCTTCATCCATGTCCCTGTGAAGGACATGATCTCATTTTTTTGTTATGGCTGCATAGTATTCCATGATATATACTATGGTTTCTTTATCCAGTCTATAATTGATGGGCCTTTGGGTTAGTTTCATGTCTTTGCTATTGTAAAATAGTGCCACAATAAACATACGTGTGCTTGTGTCCTTATAGTAGAATGATTTATGTTCCTTTGGGGATACACCCAGTAATAGGATTGCTGGGTCAAATGGTATTCCTGGTTCTAGATCCTTGAGGAATCGCCATACTGTCTTCCACAGTGGTTGAACTAATTTACATCCCACCAACAGTGGAAAAGTTTTCCTATTTCTCCACAGCCTCACCAGGCTTGTTTCCTTCCTTTTTAATAATTGCCATTCTGCCTGATGTGAGATGATATCTCATTGTGGTTTTGACTTACATTTCTCTGATGATCAGCGATGTTGAAGTTTTTTTCATATGTTCATTGGCCAAATAAATGTCTTCTTTTGAGAACTGTCTGTTCATATCGTTTGCCCACTTTTTGATGGGGTTGTTTTTTTTCTTGTAAATTTAAGTTCCTTGTAGATTCTGGATATTAGACCTTTATCAAATGAGTAGATTGCAAAAATTTTCTCTCATTTTGTAGGTTGCCTATTCACTCTGATGATGGTTTCTTTCACTGTGCACAAGGTCTTTAGTTTAATTAGATTTCATTTGTCAATTCTGACTTTTATTGCAATTGCTTTTGGCATTTTTAAGTCTTTGCCCATGCCTATGTCCTAAATGTTACTGCCTAGTTTTTCTTCTAGGGTTTTTATAGTTTTGGGTTTTACATTTACGTCTTTAAGCCATCTTAAGCCAATTTTTTGTATTAGGTGTAAGGAAGGGGTCCAGTTTCAGTTTTTTGCATATGGCTAGCCAGTTTTCCCAGTACCATTTACTGAATAGGAAATCCTTTCCCCATCGCTTGTTTTTGTCAGCTTTGTTGAAGATCACATATTTGCAGGTTTCTGAGGTCTTTGTTCTGCTCCATTGGTCTATATGTCTGTTTTGGTACCAGTACCATGCTGTTTTGGTTACTGTAGCCTTGCAGTATACTGTGAAATCAGGTAGTGTTATGCCTCCAGCTTTTTTCTTTTTGCTTAGGATTGTCTTGGCTATACAGGATCTTCTTTGATTCCAAGTGAAATTTAAAATAGCTTTTTTTGGCTGGGTGTGGCGGCTCAAGCCTGTAATCCCAGCACTTTGAGAGGCTGAGGCGGGTGGATCACGAGGTCAAGAGACCGAGACCATCCTGGTCAACATGGTGAAACCCCGTCTCTACTAAAAATACAAAAAATTAGCTGGGCATGGTGGCATGTGCCTGTAATCCCAGCTACTCAGGAGGCTGAGGCAGGAGAATTGCCTGAACCCAGGAGGCGGAGGTTGCGGTGAGCCGAGATCGCGCCATTGCACTCCAGCCTGGGTAACAAGAGCGAAACTCCATCTCAAAAAATAAAAAAAATAGTTTTTTTCAAATTCTGTGAAGAATGTCAACATACTTTGATGGGAATAGCATTGAATCTATACATTGCTTTGAGCAGTATGGCCATTTTCATATTATTTTTTTCCTATCCATAAAGATGAAATGTTTATTCATTTGTTTGCATCCTTGAGCAGTGGTTTGTAGTTCTCCTTGAAGAGGTCCTTCACATCCCTTGTAAATTGTATTTTTAGGTATTTTATTCTCTTTGTAGTGATCGTGAATGGGGAGTCCATTCATGATTTGGTGCTCTGCTTGTCGATTATTGATGTAAAGGAATGCTTGTGATTTTTGCACATTAATTTTGTATCCTGAGACTTTGCTGAGATTGATTATCTGTTGAAGGAGTTTTGGGGCTGAGATGGTAGGCTTTTCTAAATATAAAATCATGTTATCTGAAAACAGAGATAATTTGACTTCCTCTCTTTGTATTTGATACTTTCTTTCTTTCTCTTGCCTGGTTGCTCTGGTCTGAACTTCCAATATTATGTTGAGTAGGAGTACTGAGAGAGGGCAGCCTTGTCTTATACTGTTTTCAAAGGGAATGCTTCCAGATTTTGCCCATTCAATGTGATACTGGCTGTGGGTTGGTGATAAATAGCTCTTATTATTTTGAGATATGTTCTATCAATACCTAGATTGTTAGGAGTTTTTTTTTTTTTTTTTTTTTTTTTGAGACAGAGTTTGGCTCTTGTTACCCAGGCTGGAGTGCAATGGCGTGATCTTGGCTCACCGCAACCTCCACCTCCTGGATTCAGGCAATTCTCCTGCCTCAGCCTCCCGAGTAGCTGGGATTACAGGTACGCGCCACCATGCCCAGCTATTTTTTTTGTATTTTTAGTAGAGACGGGGTTTCACCATGTGGACCAGGATGGTCTCGATCTCTTGACCTCATGATCCACCCGCCTCGGCCTCCCAAAGTGCTGGGATTACAGGTGTGAGCCACCGCGCCCGGCCTGTTAGGAGTTTTTAACATGAAGGGATGTTGAATTTTATCAAAGGCCTTTTCTGCATCTACTGAGATAATCATGCAGTTTTTGTCTTTGGTTGGTTCTGTTTATGTGATGGATTATGTTTATTGATTTGTGTAAGTTGAACCAGCCTTGCCTCCCAGGGATGAAGCTGACTTGCTGGTGGTGGATAAACTTTGTCATGTACTGCTGGATTTGGTTTACCAGTATTGTATTGAGGATTTGCCCTCACCACCTCAGGGGTTTTGGCACCCTTGGGCAATGTGTGTGAGATGAGGCTTTTCTTGGTACTAGGGCAGAGGGAATACGTGGTAAAGTATAGGTGGGAAGGGAAAATCAGCAGGAAGCTGAGGAAGTAGAGAGTTATTCACTTAAAACAAAGTGGCCCCAATCCTGCTGGACAAGTTTTCACCAGTGTTCCTGGTTTATGAGTTCTCCAAATTGAAGATCCCCGAGACTGGTACTTAGTACCTACCCTAAGGATAATCACATTTACAAAAAACATCGAAATTTGTTTCAATATGTTCATATAACTCTCTAGATTGTGTGAGCAGTTCTTGAAAGTAAGCCTAATTATTCTAATGTATAACTAATAAGATACAACCCTATTTCTAAACTACTGGCCAAATTCCTCAACAGTATCAATGTTATTTAAAAACAATTTGAATTGTAAATAGTACATGATCTAATTTGAACATTCTTTGGAGCATTTTAAATCTTCTGCCTCTATGTTGATTTAAAACATTTGTTTTTATAAACCAAAGTAAAGCAGACTTTCAAGTGAAAACAGCATTTTGCTAATAAAATAAAATCTGGAAACATACAAAAAATAATGTCCAAATATCTATTTCATAATGTAAAACCTGAAAATATCTATTGGAGAAATTATATACAATAATCACACCTACCTTCCACCACATACACAAAAAGTATTTCGTACAGACTTCAGTACACTGATTGTCTTTTATGAACTAAAAGGTCAAACTTTTTTTTTTCTTCTGTAGGTTCTAAGAAGTAAAAAATGACAAAATATGCCTAGACATTCTTGTAAACCAAAAATACAATTCTAAGGCCCTCCACCATCTGGGTGGACCCCTCCTCTCAGCCAAGGGCATTCCAAAATTAACCTGCAAAACTAGTTCAGGTCATGATGGTTAGGCGAAGCCAGACAGGACTCATTCTGCCCTCCTCCCTTTTGGAATTACTGATAGAACAAACTCTTTAAGTCTGATAAGAAACATTTACAATCTATTCTCTCTGAAGCCTGCCACCTGGAGGCTTCATCTGCACGATAAAACCTTGGTCCCGACAACCCCCGTATCATAACCCAGACATTCCTTTGTATTGGTAATAACTCTTTCAACCAGAATAATACTTTCAATA